CTTATCTGTAAAAGAGGAGTAATACTCTTTTTTTCCAAGGGCAGTTGTGAGGATTGAGAAAGTATTTGCAAAAACCCTGAATTTTACTTTTTTTGGGGAGGGGCGTATTTTTAAATGTTTTAGCATGTACGGACTATGAGTGTATGAGTGTGTGCGTGTGTGCGCATGTGTGTGCGTGTACAGCTATTGCCCCTCACACACCACGAATAACCCTTTTCCCCACAAACCCAACTGTGTACTTTCTGAAAGCAGATGCCCATTTTCCCCTCCCTCCTACCCCGGGGCTTACCAGTGGGAGCCCAGCAATTCCCTAAATTGAGTCAGAATCTGCAAGGGCGTTGTGTTCTCCATCTGTTTCCTTTAGCCAGACCTTTACCAAAGTGTTCAACTGTGAAGGATTTTACAAAGAAATTCCTGTGTTGGGTTTGAGTATGTCAGAAACAATTGTGGGATGTGAACTTCAGATGGGGCAGTGATGGACGGGTTTGTTAAAAGGGTCTGTTTTGTGTTTGTTGGTTGCTGTGTTGTTGGTCTGACGGCCGTGGAGCACAAAGTCTGGACTTCGGAGAGGAGCTGGGGGAGCTTGTGTGGTCCAGGCACGTCTGAAGTGACGAACGCCATGCCGTCCAGGAAAATCACTCCCTCCCGCACGGGTCGTCCTTTGTGATGGTCCACACCGGTCTTAGGTTCCCGAACCCGGGCAGCCTAACGTGATGGGTACATGCCAGATGCGTGAAGGGAGGTCCTGGAAGTAAAGGATCCGACAGCGGGAGAGTCTGAGTTTCTTTACACCGACCAGAGTGAAATTACAAGGAAGTGGCTGCTTGGGAGAACGTGGTGACGCTGCCATGCAAAACACGTCTGCTAAGCTTAACAAGTCCAGTTCCCGCTCACAAAACACGGCAGGTGAAATAACCCGAGAATGTGTTCTTCAGAAGCAAGAGAAAAAAGTTTAAGTTCGAGATGTTGTGATTAAACTGAGGGCATGGAAGCTTCTCTGAGGCTCCTACTTGAATGGAAAGTAGGCAGAGGATGTTCACGTGATGGGGCTTCTTGTGAGGACAGGCGAAAGGGGACGGGACCTCTTGGAAGAACAGAGTAAGAGGTGACCCTCTTGGGAAGACTTGAGCTGAAAAGCCAAGGCACCTCTCGGCACCACATTGTCTTGTCACCCCTACAACAGCCAGTGCACGGCTCTGGCACTCGACTGGGACTCGTCAGTCTCAATCGCTGCGAAATGTGTAAGCTCGATATAATTTTTATAGACACACACGCAGCTAACAGGGTAATCAGCACGAACCCGGGACGAGGAGTCCTTCAAGGGTATTCGCAGCTCCTTGGACCCTTTGAGTCTTTGCTCTTGCTGGGCTGAGCACCACCCCGTTACACTCACCCCTGTATCTAATGGATGCCTGTGCCCAGAGAAACACACACGACTTGATGGCCAGTCTCATTTTAAATTCACGACCGCATTCAGCTCTACTGTTACTCCCAGAACCCAGCCACGGCTCATCACCCTGATCCCCAACTCCCTGCCATCTTGGGCTTGAATAATTGCAAAGCCTCCTAACCGGTCTGCCTGTTCCCGTTCTTGTCCCTCCTTCAACACACGGCCAGAGCCATGCTTTGTCTCAGTCCCCACAAGCTACCTCTCTTCTCCGCTCTCCAGTGCTTTCCATCTCGGAGGAAAAGCCAAAGCCTCACAGTTGTCTCAGGGCCCAAGGCCGTCTTCTTCCTTCCCTCACCCCCAATTTCTCTGACCTCAATGGTCACGCCCCCTTTTCCTCACGCCACTCCAATCACCTGGCCTTCTCACTGTTCCCCCGAAGCCAGGGGACACTCCCACTGCTGCCTCTGCCAGGAAATTTTGCCCCAAATGTCTGTATGGCCTGTTTCCTCATGTTGCCCAGTGATGCCTTCCTGAGCTGAGCCTCTCCATTTAAATGTAGAAGAGCAGGGATGTTGTCTGTTCACTGCTGTGTCTCAGCACCCACGTGGTAGCAGATGCTGTGGGTGCCACCCGGGCCCCTTTCAGCCTCAGGCACTCATTTGTCAGCTGCTGGGAGTGGTGCTGGCCTGGGTCCCTCTCCAGACATTGCTTTCAGCTGAACACAGTTGTCTCAGCCAAGTCCACGGCCCAGCCCTAGAGGTAAAGGACAGCCCTTAGCCAGGGACGGATCCCTGTGGGGGTACGAAGGCCCAACCCCTCGCCTCCATCCAGGATGACTGCGGAGGCAGCAGGCTGAGGCCTTCATTGTAACTTGCAGTTCCCCTCACTTGTTTCACAGCCCCCAGGGACCCCAACCTAACACGTTGGCACCAGTAATGGCTGAGGAAGCAGACTCTAGGGCCTGGGAGCTGGAGCACCAGGCAGCGGCCTGTGTGGCGATAAGGGGAGCACGAACAGCCCCAGGCAAGCTGCAACGAACGGCCAGTTAAAATCCGCATCGGTGGCGAGCTGGTGTGGGATTCTGGTGGATGGGAGGAGGCTGGCAGGCTGCGGATCGCAAGCTTCTGAGGTTCAGGTCCGGGGAAGTCCTCCTGTAAGGAGGTCTCTTGCCGAGGGCTCCCGAAGCATCTGAGAAAGGCAGTGAGCCGGGGAGGAACTCGCAGCATGGAAGACCAGCTTAGCAGGCATCTCAAAGAAATGGCACAGGCGTCAAGACTGGATGGAAAATAAAGGTTTACACCTAAACGCCAGCAACTAAGGCAACAACAGTTTTTGATGAACACTGTGACCAGCCACCAGTCCAGAAAGATCCTGAGGGCTTTTACTTACAAGTCCATGTCATGTTCAGCATACCACAGAGCTGAACCTCTACCCATCACACCCCAGGGAGGGCTGACGATCAATGGTACTCTTGCCATTGTCTCCTGGGTATTTCAGGAAAACCAGGGCCACTGCTTTGAGCAGCAACAGCAGCCTCAGCCCTACCAGAGGGTGTGGGGTGTGAATGAGGACCAACAGGTGGGAAAAAAAGGGCCAAGGACACTTTCTCTTTGGCAACATAAAGGAAGCTACACACAAATGCTAAAATGGCCAGTTTAAGAAGCCATTATCCTGTTCTTTTCATTTTCACTTAACAAGCAGAAATTTGATGGCTGAACGTTCTTAAAGAGCCTAAAATAAAATCAAATTAAGATGCTTTTCACAAACAGGTCAACTGTGGTTAACTGAAGACTATGGATAGGAGAGATTGCAAAGGGAAGGTGAAAATACCGAAAATGCTAGGAAGCTATGAAATACACCACTAATGAAAGCATGATGTCACTGGTGAGCTGTTATGAAAGACCTGCCTAATCCATTTAAACTCTGTCAGTCTCCTGTTAACTTTAATCCAGGACGCCGATTCTACCTTCTACATCTTGCCTCCAGCTGTATGTTGGAGCTTTCTGTAATCTGTAATGTGAAAACAATAAAATGCCCTTTTCGACTACCCTGTCCTCTCCTCCTCCAGCCCTACTCCCCGAATCTTTCCTTCCATCATAAAGCACTTTATTAACCAAGGACAAAAACATGCCCTCCCCCCACTTACCAGGTGAGTGCAAGGGGCACAGAATGTTTAGTTTACGTTACCAAACCTACTGTCAAGTGCTGACTACATCTTTTGGGGTACCTTGCCATGTCAAAGAAGCCAGAGATAAGATTCCTGTGACCCATCGGCAGGGAAGTAATGACACCAATACCTTACTTTCACCAGGTGGGTTTTCCTCTCCATTTTGTCCACTGTTGGTCCAAGATAGCAAAGGGCCGAAGGGGTTTGGGGTGTTTCAACACAACCAACCAAGCGGCACCAACCTGCTGGCTCACAGGTGACGGTAACACAAGGTATACACTTGATTACTTTGTATGTCCTAAAATTTAGGATTGAATTTTAGGACTTGACTATGAAAAAGTGACAATGGGGGTGAATTGGTAAGAGGTGACTTCCGTGAAGTGGTGACGACAGGTGGGCACAGGGTTGTGTTCCCAACCTTATCAGTCATGCCACGTGAGAACACATTTAGAGGAAAGCCTTCCACTGAAAAGCTTGGCTATGGAGGCAGGGCTTATCAGCGCTTGAGCATTACGTGTTCACACAGGTCATCCGTGACTGACTAGCCCTCCAAGAGCTGGGTCTGGAAGCCGTGTCCCGGACATGGAATTTTAGGCAATGAAAACGCCTTGGTACCTCGCTCTACAAGTTGGATCAATGATAAATCAAATCCTTTACAGTCCACTTGTGTAGGTGATAATGACTACAAATGTGCCAGCACAAATACGAAAAATACAAATGTAAGTACTATTTTGGGTCCTTTGATTTCTGCCCAGAATGGTGCAGCTATTTCCTACATTCAGGATTTCACATCAAGAAAGACTTCTCTCTTCCTTCCCGATAGACTGTTCAACATGAGGGGCTGCCCCAAGGAGAGGCCTTCTCTTACCCTCCATGATGTTTACTCTGATTGAATACGCTGCAGAGTTCCTGCAAGTCAGAAATCACTTCTTTGGATAATACTGTTCATTATTGTTGCTCCACGGCAGACCTTGCTTCAGATTTCAAAAATGGATTAGAAGCTCCAAGATTCATTATTTAGAGAATACTTTATTAGTTTCTGTAATCAAACCCAAGTAGATAAGACCTTACATATTTAATACAGTGCGTTACCCCTGTACAAATGGAAAAAATTATGTTTAACATTTCTAGACCAATATGGCTGTTAATTTCTGTACAATGCCAACCCAACACGGTACAACTGGGATACTTTTTCCAAAGTTGACAGCACAGCTAAAGTTTCCAAAAATTCAAATTATATATATATGTATATATATATATATATATATATTTATTTATTTATATAAAAAGACCGATAGCAGTATGTTATGCATCAATAGCAGCAACAGCTTTTCCAGGCTCTGCAGTCATCTGAACAAAATTAGAGAGACATCCAGCACACTCCATTAAAAAACAAAAAAAAGGTAAAAAACAAAACCCCAGAAAACAGCAAAGTTCTGTTACTGTTGTGGTACCTGGCACCAATTTTTTTTTTTTTTTAATTAGCTTCTCAATCATCATCTGGAAAGAAAACATTCTAGAATAATGTCATTAGAAACAGCTCTGATGAAGCACAGTCACTACAACGGGTCCTACAGCAGGTACAGGAACTGGACATCCACAGAGTATGATACAGTACTGTCCTACGTCTATAGCACTAGAGGATACAATTAAAAAGGCGTAATTTCAGACTTGATTCTACTTTTCCAGCAGAGGGCCAAAGGACGGCACGACACAGCTCTGGTGAAGAAATGCACCTTCGTGGACAGGGTTTCCTTTCATCGGTGGCACAGTTCTAGGTACTCACTGCTCTTCGTGAATATCAGCTAAAAACCGTTTAAAAAAGACAAAACAAACAAACAAACAAGAAAAACCAACCCCACTGGAGTCATACAGAAGTGACCGAGCGGAAGCGGGCAGGACTCCACCTAAACCGCTATGTTCCCCAACCTGCCATTTGAACAGTCGGAGCTCCATGGAAGGAAGGAGACGCGAGCAGCACGTCCAAGCCTCAGGCCACAGCCGAACACGGCACCATTTCACACGGAAGCAGCCGACACTGCCCACTTGGGGACGCTCACGGATGCTGACATCACCACCCGCTCACGCATCCAGGGAGAAGGGGGGATCAAGTACTGTACTTTGATTGTGTTCAACTCAATTACCACGTTACAAAAATAGCAAGCTGCCAGAATCAAAAAATAAGGCTCCTCTCTCCAGCACCAGCCATCTTCAGCTCTTCACCACCAAGCCCACAAAGGCCATTGCCATCTGCACAAGTCACAGGGGAGCGGAGAAGCCGCACCTGATGGGCTAGCCGGGACCACCTGGTTCAGGCCGAGCTGTTTCGCGGCGGCGCTTTTCCTCTCATTTCTGCTGTTTCATCTAACCACAAGGACTTAGTTCTACGTTATATCCACTGAGGAACGTGTGCACGTTTGTGTCTAAATTTGGACTGAAGACGTGTGGCCACCGACAGGGCGCGTGTTGTGCCTACTAGTGAGTGCAGCAGCTGTGTCAGTGTGAATCGCCCAGGTCCTTGGGTGGCTCCGGGCAGGGGCCGGTTCACTCCTTGGGCTGCTGGCATCATCTGACTTCATTTTTCCTCTCTCCCCCCTCCCCTCCTCCATCCCCCTGCAATAAACCACAGCCTTTTAAGATTTTGTTTCTTCAGTTTTGATGGCCTGAGGTTTGATCGGTCCAGTTCTAACAGGTTTGGTGGCTATGGTGGGGACAGGGGGTGGCTTTTCTTCTACTTTGTCCTGACAGACACTGGGAGTGTCGGTCAGTGTGTCAGGAGGTTTGCTGGAATCACTGTCCACTTTCTGGGCTTTGCCTCCTATCTGTTTGCTCTGCTGCTGTTCAGAGAAGAACCGCTGCGTGGACTGAAGAACCTCTGCTCTCTGCTTTGCCTTCAAAAACAAGAAACAACAACTGAAGACACTGCAGCGTTACCAAAGCCTGTCAATCACTCTTGGTTCCAATCCTTTCACCAATTAAGTCAGCGTTCCCCACGCTGGTTTTTGGCCCAAACCAAAAGCACCTCACTGATCTTTCAGCTTTTCATGGATAGTTTTCTTCCTATCTCTGAAAACGTTCCATGTGATTTAAAAAAAAATATTTGAAAAGAACAGCAACACCTCCCACCACCTTTTCAAAATTTGCCCTCTTATAAAATATTAAGATAGGAACTGCTGTTGGTTTGTTATCTTTTCTGGAACAAACCTAATTGATATCAAATTTTATACAGGGAGCCTGCTTGCAAATTTGAAAACATATATGGAACACTTAAAACGTGTAGTTATCAATATGTGGTCTACAATAAAATGAAAAGGAAGCACTTATATTGCGGTATTACCAACACCTAGGACCAAATGTCTTGTGGCTGAGTCCTCTTCCCACAGCTCTCTTCTGCAGGGGAAGAGCATCAGAAATTAGTACCTACAACTTCACTTAGCACTAAGTTCTGACAGCTCCCACCACACTCTGAGCTGGTAGAGTCATCCCCTAGTTTCATTGACTAGGCTGCCCCAGGTAAGATACTTACGTCAACCTGTACATTGTGCCACTGTGACATACACAATTAAAACTGAAGTGTCTATACCTCTTGCACATGAAAAAGCCCTTCATGTTGTGCAGGTAACCGGAACTGTCCGAAAACCCGAAGCAATTTTCAAGAAATTTATGCCCCCGCGTACCCCATTAAGTTCTCATGCCATTTCCAACACGAGAATGTATGAAAATCAAGTGACAAGGAGCCAGGAGGAGAACTGGAAACCAAGGTAAATAGTTTGAATAGTTTCCAAAGAGTTCTCCACATACCAGTATCTTCCCGAGTTATGAATAGGTGGAAAGCCTAGGTACACAGCCTTAATAAAAGTAGATACTATTATATTTAACAAGCGTCTCCCTGCAGGGCAGTCTTCACACTTGGGCTCAGAAACAAGGGCTGTCAAGCCAGAAAGGAACTGTAACCAGTCAGCCCAGTTCTCTAATGGGATCATCACAAACGGTTTCCAATTCAGAGTAAAGCATGGCTACGCACGTTTTCCTGTTTGAAAGCAGTTAGCTTTCCTTTGTGCTAGTCTTGGTATATATTAGTGACAAAACAGGCCAAATTCCTAGGACCTCTAAAATCAGCAAACACAGAGGTAAGCGGCTTCAGCTGGCTATCAGGCAGACAGGTAAGTTTGTGCTCTACCACTGTCCCCACACAGACTCCTGAGGGCGCTCGTCTGCACCGGCAAACCTCCCGTGTATCATGCCTTTTATCGTGAAGGATCCCAAAGTGCTTTTTTGAGTTCTTTCTCTACAACACCACAATCTGCTGTGGAATGCAGCCACCTTGGGTGGCAGGCAAAAGAGGGGCATGAAAACAGTTTGAGAAGAAAACTGTACTTGGATGACTGACGAGCAAAGAAAAATCAAGATGGGTAAACATGTCTTACCCATTCTACTTTTCACATAACCATGATTTATGTATCTTAAGCTATGGGAATGGGGGAGAGGGGGGAAGGGGAACAAAAACAAAGAAAACTAAATGAAAGAAAATGGGGAAGCGTATAGTAGTCCATATTACTTTTTTGCTCTTCAAAAAAAAAAAAGAAAAAAAGGAAAAAAAAAGTAGCAGCTAAACTCAGATCTCCCTCAAATATTTATTGTATAATATAGCAATTCATTTGGCCAGCATTTAAAATGTTAATTTGTTTGCTGACTATAGTTGCAAAAGTAGAAAAAAAAAAAAAAAACAAGGCAAAAAAAAAAAGGCGGGGGAACAGGGAGAAAAAGAAAAGAAACCATCATAAAAAAGGAACGACTGACTGACAGGGGTTAGCCCGTAGGTGTGCCCCGGCCGTGGATGCCAGGACATGGGAGGCCCTGAGGCCTCTGAGGACACGCCTCCGAGCCAGGGTCTCGCTCTGCTGGCTGTTCACTCTGTACTAACCTTCATGTCTTGTTCAGCCTTCAGCGCAGCCTGGGCCTGATTACCTCTGACTCCAGACAGTGATCCACAAGGACCCCTGGCTACATGTGGCAAACGAGCATGGCTCATGAGGCCTGTGGTCAGCGGAGGAGGCATCTGACTGGCCAGTGCCATTGGTGGCCTCTGAACAGGCGCTGGGAAGGTGTTAGTATGTGGGGCTCTTACCAATGGAGGGACCAGGTTAGGCTGAGAGAGAATCTGAGTGAAAAAACAAAACATACAACATTAAACTGTTAAAAAAGTAGTTTTTTGCCAACCAGACAGGGTTGGCTTATCCCAGAGTAAATCTGTCCCCGCTCTGGCAATGAGGGGAAGTGCACGGGTCCCTGCCATCCTAGCACAGGGACCCGGGACAAATGGGCCCTGCCTGGACAGCCGAACAGAAAAATCAGGCAAAGCATAATTTCGGTTGGTTCTAGCATTTCAGCTACAAATTCTGAAGGGTAGATAGGCTAGTACTTAGGATATCTTTTTTAAAAAAAGATGTATTTGCGGAAAGGGCATACACCTATACCAAAGAAAATCTGAAGCTAAATAAAAAAATAACACCAATTCAGCAAATACGTGTTTTCTCTGGAACCAATTCCAGTTTGAGAGCGTTCTTATCAATTTTAGTTAGTCCTTCCATATGATCAGCAAACGGAAGAGGAGACAACATTTTACAAGTACATCAGAAGATCTTTTGGAAAATTCACCTTACCTACACATAGTTATCTTAAAAAAACAAACAAACAAAAAGAACCCCCAAATCAAAACAACCAAAAAACCACTTTAAACCTAGAAAACTTTAAGCACTGGGACCCTTCTCTGAAAAGTCAACTTCTTCAAACAGATAAAAGGAACAGGGCAGAAATCAATGATCAGAGCTGTGTGGGGAATTTTCTATTTCTACTGTCTGCTTTCGAGCTATATGGTTACTACTGTGGTTGCTCAAAACTTCAGAGACTATATTTGAATATCATAACTTTTCTGTTAAAAAAAGAAACTGTTTCTCATTAAAAACTGTGCTTCTGAACTGATTATACTATGGCAAGATTATAAACTCAGACAGTTAGCCAGATTAGCAATCATCTGCAAGTAAATCATGCTCATTTCTCACTTGTATCCGCCCACCTGGGGTGCAAACTGGGCAGGAAATGGCTGTGTCACTCTCACAGTGGCGGGGGCTGACTGGAACTGCTTCTGATAGACAAGGCTGTTCATTTTGCTGGACTGGCTGCTCGGACTTGTGGAAGTGGCCCTTGGAAAGAAGTCGTCACTGGTCAGTATAGCAGCGCCAGATAAATAATGCTCTGAGATTTGTAGAGACAGTGCGCTTGGCAGCTTCATCACACTTGGGAGTTGATGAAAATTTACCAAGGTGAGTTAGCAAACGTGATGGTAGTGGAGACATGGGAGGGGCAGAGGTGAGAAAGGGTACTGGCTAGATACGCCCTGTATGGAAAAATGTTTTCTTAAAATACAGTATAACAAATACATTCTTAATGGTTTAACAGCTTAACATTTTAGATAAAACTATCGGAATGTCTTGTGCCTACCACAGGACTGGTGACATATTATGCATCTAACAAACAAATGGCGCTCAGTCATTTGGCAATTCCATAGGTAAGCTGCAATGCCCATTTTACCGGAAGGGACTGGATGTCGGTGTGGTGCTTCGACCGCTGATGGGAGGGGTGCCTGGCTTAATGTCAATGCCACTTCCGAAGGCTTTCAGTTCCATTTCAGACATCTGGGAAAGAGCACAAGATAAACTTCACAATCCTGCACTTCCGGGAGCTAACACGCTGTGTTTCATACTCTATACATGAAGATTTAACCTAGCAAAGGGCCACAATCCTATACTTAGTTCAAATACCATGAAATGAATAAGGCCCAATTTGTGGCTGTAAGGTCTTAAGTGTAAATCCAATTCTCCCACAAAATCTGTGAATTCTTTGTTATTAGGTAAAAACAGAGGGGCCAAATTCATTAAAAGTAGAGAAAAAATAAGTATATTGGGATCTGAGATTCCCTGGAGGTGGTAAAAACCGATGTATTATATTTTTGCAGAAAACACCGATCACACAGCCACACACGTGGCCTTAAACTCTCCGAGAAGCCGTCTGTCCCTTCCACTTACTTTTCCCGTGGTTGTGATCATGCTGTGCTGTGTTCCAGCGGGGATCAGCCCCCTGAAAGGTTGGCTGACTTGTGCAGGGCGACTCAGGCTCTGGGCCTGTGCCTGGGGGGTGGTGTGCTGTAACGGGGGCTGAAGAGTCTGAGGCAGAGCAATTAAAGGCTGCCCCGTGGATCCGAAATTAGGCAAGGAGAGCTGGGATGCTGGTAGAGGAACCGTGACCTAGGACAGAAGCAAACAGAAACCGCAGCAAGTTGTTTCTACAGGGCCTGCTGAGTGAGTACACATCCCTGTAACTGTACACACTGCTCTCCAAATACTTCTGAGTAAGATTTTCAACAGAACCCACCAACCTACTAATACTAACACATTTCACATATAAACCTTTCACTTGGTGACTATCTCCATTCTTTACTAAAGGTGCAGCAAGAAAACAGATGAGCAGTGGAGAAACTAGATAACTGCAATAATTATAACTCCCTTTGAATTAATCCACAGTATCTATCAAATAACCATAAACTACAATAAAATCATGGAGACACAATTTAAGAAAGTGGTCACAACTTCCCAAGTAGCAATTTATTTTGAATGTCAATAGGGTAATATATTTATGAATCATCACCCCTAAAAGAACCACCAAAAATGGCTGAGAAAATGACTAATGGCTTGTCTCTTCCCCAGCCCTCCACCAGCTTTGAGAGAGTAAGGTGATTAATGATACTGCTGGAGGAGACAGTTTCAAAAACACAATCCGGTTTTTGCTGAAAATTATTATTGCATTCATACACTGCAGATGCGTGCCTGTCACCTGCCCTCTGCCACACTGTCCCACCGCCCTGGGCTGTGTTACCCGGTGTGGTGGTCTTTAGTCTGCCTTCGACTCCCCACGAATGAGTAACGCGCCTATCACGCTTACATGTAACTATCCCCTGAACAATGGCTTTCAAACTTTTATATTCATGTGATCCTCTGTTAAAATTAACAATTACATGGAAACTCGTTTTTTAAAAAAGACTAAACCACAGGATTGAAGCAGGGGTGGGGAGAGGGTGTGGGACTGAAGCACATTTCCTACCACAGGACCCCGTGAAAATCCTAGGAGCTCAGAGCGAAGTCTGAAAACAATGCTCATCTCCCCATACTAGTTTTACTTCAGCTTCCCAACAACAGCAAAAGCAGCAACAGTAACAGTAACAATAATAATTATAATAATAAGAATAATAATGAAAATTGAGGAAATTTACCATGCCATAGTTTACCTGCTGGAGAGTACTCGGTGACTGGGCAGTGTTATAAAAATTGGTCTGACCAGGCTGTTGTACTTGTCCAGAATAAAGGTTTGAAGCCTGGGTAAGATTTGCTCTAGCCTAGAAACATGTGGTGAGAAAACAGCAGTAAGACACCAAGGTTATGGGTTCAAAGCAATCTCTAAGGATTTTAGTATTAGATAAAAAGGAAGACCTTTGTTTTTTGTCTTTTAACGTTTTTTTTTTTTCCTTTTTCTTTAGAAACTGTCCTTCAATAATAATCTGTGGCCTAAGAATACAACGGCAGCACCCGCTCTAGCCCCTGCCTTACCTGGAGGAGATGCGTATCGATCAGCTGGGACCCTCCCAGGCCTGACGCCTGGCCCAGCTGATGTTCATACAATATGGGAATAGGCTGAGTATTTGAAGTCTGTTGAAAGGCAAGACCCGACTGTGCCTTGGCAAGTTCCTGGTGTTGGACCGCTGGGAAATTGTGGATGGCAGTCCCAGAAAGGACCACCGATGGCTGGGATAGGCTGCTTTGCATAAAGGCTGGCTGAGATCTACAGAAGGGTTGAAGAGAAAAGGCTGTGTCAGAAGTTTATTCAATCCGGAAACCTAAGAGTGAGTATCCCAAATGACCACGCACTCCAACTGGCCTAAGAAAAGATGCAGATTACAGACTGTTTCTAAGGCCCTTTACCATGACACTCCACGCATGAAAGTTCTAGAGTAATGATTCCTCTCTCCGAGAAACTGGGAAGATGTTTGCCTCTTGAACAATGACAGTGATTCTCTTTTCAGGTGTTTATAGAAAGCTCAGAGCTAAATCTACCGTTTTCCCTTTGGCATATCGGCATCCATTCAAATTTATAGCTGCGATAGCTCTGACTTTTCCTATTTGTATTTCATTACTTCCCTCATGTACATTTCCTCTCAGAGGCCTCAAGGCCGCTATGGCATGACGCCGAGTAGCACTTCGCATCAGGATTACCCGCAAAGTTTTGTTTTGTTTTTTTAAACTGAGGTATAAATGGACACACAACATACTAAACATAACAATTTGGTATTTCTATCTACTGGGAAGTAATCAACATAGTAAGTCTAGTTAAGACCCATCACCACATAATTACAAAGTTTTCTTTTTCTTCTGAGAACTTTGAAGATCTACTCACTTAGCAACTTTAAAATATGCAACACATAATGATCAAAGAACACAAACTTCGTTATAAAATAAGTAAGTCATGGGGTTGTAATATACACCAGTGGCTAGTTAATAACAATGTGTTGCACATTTGCTGCAATCTAACCTCAGACTGCCCTATCATCTCTGGGATGGAGGCCTCCAATTGATACTTCAAAAAATGCTGAAATAAAGAGTAAGCAACCAAATCTAAGTAGTGGATCAAAGATAATCTTATCAATAAGTAACATCATGCTTTGTTAAAACTGACATATGTGGCAGGGACAAAGGCCCTGCAGGAGTGCTCGTACAGGGTCACAAGTCATCTTAACAATGTCTATTTAGAATTTATGTTTCAAATATAAAATGGGAAAACAGAAGCGTATTGTTATAAACTGTACTGGCAGACAGTAACTCAGGGACTCCCTCTTAATACACATGCTGTTTAGGTGGTGAGCAAGGAGTAGCAGAATGACGTAGGAGAGATACAAACTGCCTTCAAAACCTACACCTCTGTCTTCCAACACAGGAGCCACCATTACACATACAGCGTCCACTGTATCTCTATTAAACAGGTCTGGTCTTCAGAAGCACATCCTCCAAGGCAACTGCTAAAATGGGAATTACAAACAATGTTGCTGCATTGCTACTCTTCCTCCCTTGACTATGGAAGACAGTACTTATTAATCTCTGAACTCTTTCCCAGCACAGGAAAGTAGCTGCAACTTTTCAACAATGTTTCATGCAGCCAATACCAATTAAGAGGAAAAGGGTTTGTGAGAGTGAATCTATTTGCTATTTTAAAGTTTTATTTTTTACTACAAATTCCAAGATAACCCCAAATTTAATAATACAAAAGAGACTGTCTAACTTCTAGTTGGAGTAAATAGTTTTACTTTTACTGGGAGAATTTCTTCAAATAACCAAACAATGACAAAGTAAAACCAGAAAATAAACATATTATATAACTAATTATACAGATGTACTAAATTCTACAGAAGAATCTTTAATCCAAAAATAAAAGTGAGAGCCACATTTACTAAGTTTACTAAAAATTCTGCTGTTAAAAAAGTTTAATTAGCTTTAGGAATATAATTTACATAATCTAAAGAAATAAGCTATATCAACTGATGTCAAGTCTAATCTATAAAGCATGGAAATTCTATCTGATCCATATAAAAAACCAACACATTTCTGAAAGCACATGTGTAACTTTGTAACTGTCCAAAACTGTCCTGACAGTCATTTATTTTACTTTTGGATGGTTCAGAGCCATTATCATGAGTACCAATGTCAACCATGCCATGATCACTGCTATCACTGCCCTACCCCCATCAGACACTTGAGGTTTTTGTGGTGAGTGTACCCCTAGGTAAAAAACCCAACCCCGGGCTGGCCGAGTGGCACATTGATTAAGAGCTGGCTTGGGATGCCAGAGGACCCAGGTTCAGGTCCCACATATGAGGGCCAGTGACACTGCCCTCTATAGCTAAGATGCTGAACAACAGCTCAACCTGGAGCTGGGCTGCCGTGAGTCGCTGGCGACTGCATAGGCTGCAGCCCCTGCTGCAGTGGGTTGCCATGGGCTACCGTGTATAGCCAGCAGCCAGCGTGAGTGGCCGTCCAGAAGCCGGTGACTGATCTGCCTCACCTGGGAAGAGCAAAATGATGGTGCCAACTTGGGCTAGTGAAGCAAAGTCCTCCACAACTAGACTGAAGAACAAAAGGACAGCAACTTATCTGTTCCCCTTCCCCCAATTAAAACAAACAAACAAACAAAAAAAACCCCAACCCCTTCAAGTGTCAATGGGGGATGACTTCATCTACCATGCGTGGTCTCGTGAAGACTAAACTTCCTATGTTACTGTATGTAGAGGGCTGAATAGTGACCCTATAGAAGGAAAATTCAATAAAGATCAGTTTTCACACTGCCTTGCCAAGGTCACTGCCAGTCAGTGTTTCAGAAGAATGGCTTCTTCCGTGCCACACCGCATCCGTCGCTGCTGCCTCACTGCCCCTGTGCTTTGTCTCACACACTGCTCCTCTCTTTTGCTCCATGCCGCCCCGCCACCTTGCTATTTGCCCTGTGTCAGCTCTTACAGAGCAGATTTGGGTCTCCACTGTTAGCATTAAGGGCCCTTCGACCTGTAGGTCCTTCAGCAACTATTTTCTGTGGTTTCTGATTGTTACGGGATTGCTGCTACCCTCTTTTTCAAGAAGCGCTGAGGGCCGACTTGATTCAATAAAGTGACTGCCACACCAGAGGCTGAGGCTCACGATATATAATCAACACGATTCATCACCTAATGTGCTTCATGACAAGGACGGAGAGAGCAGTAGGGATGTGGCAAGAAAGCTCAGTAACTGCAATGTTTCCAAGGTCACAGACATAACTGCCTCACAGTTTACCTGTACGGCTGAAGGGAAGAACTGAACAGTTCCTGGGCCTGTGAAACAGCGGGCCCCGCACCCAGGCTCAGCTGGGCTTGATGCTGTCCTTGGAGGGGCGCGTAAATAGGGATGGGAATCTGCTGGACGGAGGTGGGCTGTGGTGCAAGGAAGAGAAAACAAACAAACGGCCCGTGAGCACGGTATACACTCCTCACAATACTGGGCAAATAAAAAATCGAGATGCGATGGAAAGGGTAAATGACTAATGCCATGCATCAGTTCCCTTTAGAACAAAAACACACACATCTAAATTTCCCTTTCAACCCATTACTTATTCTACATTGTTAATCATAAAGCTTTGACAAATTACAGAAAGTTTTAAAATTTTGCGAATACGTATCAAGGCAAACATGGATTGTCCCATGTTGTTAACAGATGATAACTTCAGAGTCTATTATTTGTAGCCCAAGATATTACTACACCATAAAAATGCCAAGACACAAACACAGGATGGAAGAAAAGCCTGTGATATTTACCTGAGAAAGACCTGGCTGGAAGCCTTGTTGCTGAGCCAATGATGGTGGGGCCAATCGTGCATGCTGGGTACTGAATAAATGACTTGTGTCCATGTAGAAAGCTGGGATTTGAGCTATAGACCATCAGGAAAAATAAGCAGTAATAAGTGTTTAAATTTCGGAATTTTCCAAACAGAAACTAAAAACCAATTTTTATAGCAGACTTCAAATTAAGTAGCTCTCTGAAAATTAATACAACTAAGGAAAACTTAGAAATGTGAAAAGATGCAAAGCCTCTAGCAGACAGGAATATGCAAATTAAAACAGCCAAAGTCCAGTACTTGTAAAGTGCTAGTAAAAAGGTATAAAAAGGTATGAAAAAGACTTTCATATACTGTCAATGGGGTATAAACCAGTCAAATTTTACATATTTTATTAAAATTGAAAATGAACCTGTTTAACAGCAAATCCATTCCAATTTTAAATCTACCTACCAGAGCTTAGCAAAATATTTTAAAAGAATTGACATTTAATAACTGAAAGAATTTGGTATACATTTTAAACGGATTTCTTTTCTATGTATTTATTATACATACTATTTTGTGATTTGCTGTTTTTGTCTTGAAGAACTTCCTCTATGGTTTTAAATTTGTCACCATGATAAACAATACTGCAATGAACACACACCTTCATACGTATATCTCTGATTAATTAAGTTTATCTATATAAGATTCCTAACTACGAAACTGTTCCTATGGGTATATACATATAAAATGTTTGGGGATACTTTTCTACAAGAAGTACTTTAAGAGACTATACTAACCCATAATCCTCACAGGTACTGGGTATTATCAATCTTTCTACTATCCCCACATGGAAAGGCAAGAAATAGCCTCACAATTCTTTCATTTTGAATTTAAATCATCAGTGAGTTTGAATATTATTCAAATATTTGCTATTTGACTCAGATCAACACTATGATATTTAGTAATGCAAGTTACCCGACGCCCAATATATATATTTTTCTGTTTTGCTATTGTTTATTCTTCCCCATGACTTCATTATCAATTTGTCAAGTTTCAAATAACCAACTTTTATAATATCAACCAATTTGTTGAATATATATGTGTACGGGACAACAGTCAAGAGCCCCAGAATGCTTATCAAGGAGACACAGCAGTCAGTTCTATCAGGAAATAAATCAGCAAAGCAGATAAAAGAACATTTAAACTTGAAAGGGTAACCGAGAAGGAAAGGCTAAGCCTTTAGAAGCCTTCATCTCCTAACTCCCTGAAACCTCACCTGCTGTGGACTGAGACACGTAGACCTGCGGGCTCTGTTGCTGCTGGGCGATCAGGGAAGGCATACAGCTCAGCTGCGAAAAGTGACTCGCAGAAGGCAGGCTACTTGTCTGTAACTGTTGGGGCTTCACTTTGCAAATATTAGGAGGGTCTGACGTGGTTGTAGATTTGGTACTCAGAGAAGAGGTAGTGTAGGTACCAGCGCCTATGTTTGAGAGAGGGATAAAATAAGGAACAACACCGTAATTTTTTCCACTTGAGTCTCTACCAGTAGGCTGACAAGAAGGTCCTTGTTAAAAAAATTACCCTAGTTGAGGGGAGTGTGGAGAAACTATAGACCTGGAAAAAAGGAAGTAGCTGGGTTCCATGACAGAACTGGCCACCTTCTCGGTCCCTTTATTCCCTAATCTTCCTATCATACAGTTCCTTTACAGCCCCACCCTCTACCTACCCACGTAAACTGGGGCCAAGCTAGAGTCAGCAAGTGTAATGAAGACGCCTTGCGAATGGGTGGAAAGGAATGCTTGAACAGGTTTCCAAGGAGGAAAACATACAGCTGGATACTCTCTTTGGTTTGGATCTCTGGGTTTCTCTTAACACATACTTCCGATTCCAGATAACATGAGAGTATCTGTATGTAGTACAATCCAAAGACCAGCTCTTTTGGTACTTAAAACTAGCAGAGAATGACAGAATATTGAAAAGCATGACTTCAATCAGTAAATAAGAGCCAGTCAAAAACTAAATTCTGTGTTGGATATATTCTATATCTACTGGAGCTTCCCACTGCTTTAAAAACTTTAGAAAATACCGGGAAAGCGTGAAATAAAGTTTGTTTTCAATAGAAGAAACATGGTTATACACATGGTAAAAGGGTGTGCTTTCCTAGAGTCAAGCATTTTAGAAACAGCCTCTGATTCTCTAAGTACTAACTGTAAGGCCTCCAAATGAGATAAGAATTCAATGAAAGGATTACACACTAGTGAAAAATTTAAAGAAGAAAGACTTTTAACTTGGGGTGCTTATGGACTCGCCTTAAAAACAAAATAAAACCCAAAAACCAGTGGATATCATCTACTCAAAAAACAGGGACTGTAAATTCTCTATCCCTAACTCTCCACCAGAAAATATACGTCAACCCAACAGATTTAGGCCAATAGCTTCTTTAAAGTAGACAGATGGCAAAATATTTAAAAGCTGTGTGATTGTGTTATTTCTGAATTGGTTTAATTAGCTCTCTCTGAATTAAAAAATCAAAATCAAAAGGTGATAGAAAAATTCAGAGAAACGAGATACAAGTTTTGTCACCAATTCCTTATTAGTATCTGCGATAGGGGTGGGCAGGAGAAGAACAGATGGTCCAGCCTAGTGTCTCAGTGAGCCACCCACGAATATTTGCTAAACTAAGACAGAGAGCAAAGAGGGGAGGTGTAGGAAAGGCAAGTTTATAAAGAGCTGAGAATTACCTCGGGCACAATCTTACTGCTCTTATAAATAATCCTTTCTCGGGGATAGTAAACAGCAAACAATGCTAAGTATTTGAAATAACTAAAGAAATGTAAGGAAGGCACAGAAGGCTGCTTACCTGACAGCGATGTGGTGGGCGTGACCGAGGCGACAGGGATCTGAGGTACAGGCGCGCTGGAGAATGAGCTGTAGCTGGCGGGGCTCGGCCCACTGGCACTGCTGGGGACACCACTTGCGATTGGAGGGGCCGCGGAAGTGACTGGAGATCCCTTTTCCCTCACATTTGGAGAATTCTCCCATGCCTTACGGGCAGACTCCATCTGCAATGAAATGGGACCTTTTTTGAAGCAAAAAATCACCACGCTAACATAATAGATACATAGATAGATATTAAAACCGTATATATATATATGTATTTAAGCCCCAAATATAATCTTTCAATAACCATAAAAATACAAGATTAGGACCCTAGGGTTTTCAAGCCCTTCACGTTCCCCTTCACCTTTGATCTTTCACTTCAGTTGGGAGGCAGTGGGCTTTAATGCTGCACCGACAGGGAGCTTGTTGGTGGCTTTAACAGACAGGCCAGTGCAATAGACAGTCACAGCTCGGCATCTAAACACGAGTCTGCCTCTCCCCCCCCCCCCCCACATCGGTGAACAAGGAAAAGGAACTACCGGGTCCTTTGGGACTGACCTCAGGCTGAATCTACAGGAAAGGCACTGCAGCCCCTCCATAAATACCCACTCCCTCCATTCTTTCTTTCTAAGCCAACAGTTCTCAAATGGAACATGACAGGCATCTATTGTTTGGCTCTTTTCTGCTCAGTGTTTTAAAGGTAGAAATGGGTCTTATTTCAATCTATTTTCAATCTCTCTAGAGCAGTGCTGTTCGACATATAAATATAGTCACATACATGATTTTAAATTTTCTAGTAGTCACATTTAAAAAAGTAGAGGTAAACTAATTTTGATAACATGCTTTATTCAACCCATCATATCTACAATATAATTAAAACCTAGAATCAACATAAAAATGGAAATGTTTTAATAAGAAACAATACTATCATTTCAGATGCAGCATGCATTTTCTTGGATACTTCAGCACACACCTCAACTTGGATTAGCCACATCCAAGAGCTTGGTACCTACACAGGGCTCGTGGAGACTGAACTGGAGAACAGAGGCAGGCCCTCAACCATCTAAGCCTACCTGCACAGGAAGCGGAGAGGTACATGGATTTTGGAGGTTTTAGCTCTGCTAGTCAAAATACTGGGCCAAGAGGAAAACCCAAGGTAATCCACAAAACTCAGCGGAAATGCTTTACATGAGGGTCCTTTTTAGAAGATTTAAAAAATACCATTGTTAGGAAGTTTGTAGGTGCTTGAAGTACCAACTTTAATCTTATTTTAACTGTTAAGAATTTGAGAAACAAACACTACACATCTCCCTGCTTTGGTGTTAAAGCGCACACTAGATATAATTTAACCTTTTCTCAGTGACCAATGTCATCTCCATTAATTCAAAATACAGGACACCTTCATGTTTGCTGGAGTCTGTTCTCGCAGTCACCTTGCTGGTTTCAGATGTGTTTTAAAAGAAAAGTCTTGGGGGAGGTGTTAAAACACGCTGCCTATACCAACTGAAATTTTATGGTTTAGGGCAATTTTTACAGAGTAGTGCCTTTTACGTCAGTTTTGCTGTGTTTAAAACACAAATAACAGCTAATCAAACTTGCATAATGTATAGGCCAGGTACATTTGGCTTCATTTCGCTTCTGAAGCAACAGGAAAATTTAGATTCTATTTTTGGAAATTCAAGGCAACTAAAAAAAGTACAATTATAATATTTAACTATACTCATTTTTTCCCCTTGGCAAATATACTTTCAATAATATCCATATAAGAGAACTTTTCTATACCTTATATCTTACCCCAAAAGAGAGAGTTGTCAGAACTAGTAAAACTAAAAGACACTAGAGAAAGTTTTAAGTGAATGTAACTTAATTTAAATTCATTTTAATTCTAAATGTATATTTTTATTTCTCTTGGCGTGTTAAAAATATTAAGTGAGAGGCAATGCTGAATGGGTTTTCTGAAGAATTAGCAACTGGACTAAAGAATAATTAATGATATATTTGCTCAGGTGAAATTAGACTATTGCCTTGAATAACGTAAGGGTGAAAACCACATGTAAGACATAATACGAAGCACAGACTGAGTCATTCAAATGGAAAAAGAATAACAAAGGCGGAGTAGGAACTGTCAGTAAATAGTTAAGTACTGGGTAAAGACGGGGATGAGACGATCTGGTCGATGTCTCGTAACATTTTAGAGCCTCAAACTTATATTTATTAAGCCTCTTACAAAGGTGGGGAGCAAGGGGTCGAGTGAGTGGTCAGGGGGCTAGAGACAGTCAATCAGAGAGAGCCGAGAAATGAACACTGGCCCTGTCACAAGTGACTCCGTGTCCCCCTCTCCTGAAGACGGTGGAGGAGACTGACTGTGTCACCTGTTACACCTCAGGAGGCCCTGCTGTAACAGAGGTGAAACACTTGCCTTTAAAAAAACCCTCAATTCCATGTCTGCACTTTTTTTAACCATTGACTAATCTTGAGGTGAACAACTGATTTAAAACACTCAACTCAACTGTAACAAAGCATTAGTAACATAGTTCAAAATTATAAACGTAATAGATTATAAAATAAGTCTAAACTTCATGATGTCAAAAAGCACATGTTGCTTAAAAGATCTTTTGCCCCCATATTAAAAAATTATCCAAAAATAATCTATTCAAAATCACTTGTATTAATCAATTACCTCTTCATAAAATATTCTAACTACATCACTTTCATTCAATTCACATATGACTTACAGTAAAGACAGAAAACTAGCCTTCTTTTCATCACTCAAGTTTAGGAAAAAAAAAACATGCACACAAAGCTAGTTGTTTTTTCGTACACAACTAATATATGCAAAGATTATTAGGATCTCTAACAGGAACTTAGCACAAACATGGAATATTAACGTTCTCCTGTAATTTTACGACAAAATTCACAAGCATAATAGGCCTTATTTTAGATACGAGGATATCACGTCACTGTTAAGCAGTATTGGAAGCCAATAAAAATGTTAAGGTATGATTTGACATTACTCCATTTCCTCTGCTTAGCATTATTGCTTATCACACAAAACTAGTAAAAATACGAAGAGAATATTGTTAACTTATGTCCCCTTGCATGCAATAGTCAAGGACCTTGAGAGATGGATGGCGTACATACCTTGAAGGTGAGGCTGAAAGTAGTGGGAGGAACTGAAGTGAGGCTGGAGCTCTGTGGTACAGTCTCCCTCTTAGGGAGGGGAAGGGTGTTGGGCAGGGGCACCTGAAAAGGTAGGCAACAAATATCACAATCTAACTAACTATGTCTGCTACAAAAGCCCCGTTAGAGAGAACGCTGCTTACTGTGCTTAGCTTTCATCAGAGCCAAGAGGAATACAGGAGCACTTAGAGCTACACTTTTCATGGCAACGGAGAATTTGGGACAGCTTACATAAAACTCCTGCCTTTTTATGCATGAGTTGAAAGTCTGTCCCGAATATAAGGTGTACAATTGAAGGCAGCGCTGCGTGTATTTTACTGTGAATGCCCATCACCCAGGGATGTTGTTACAATGCAGGTTCTGATTCAGTTGGTTCTGCATCTTAAACAAGCTCCCAGGTGGTGGCGATGCTGCTGGTCCCTGGACCACACACACACTACAGCAAAGCTCTAAGGAATACAATTTCCACCATTTAGGGGATCAGAAGCATTTAACACGATAGTGTAAATATAAGAAATTAAATCTCTTTCCTGTAATAGTCAAATTTCTTGTAACTAGATTCATGAACAAAAGTAATACTGGGAGGAAAGTATGGACTATCACTGCCCCTCCCCCATTAACTAAACAAATTGCTTTGCCATAGTGATAACATAATATGGTAGATATTGTTAGAAACGCGAAGATATTAGAAACTCGCCACTCATATCTTTTTCCTCTGAGCCTCTGGGTCTTGAGATTTTATTATGGACTATTTGCTGTATGATTGATTTTGACGCTTCATTCAATTGTTCTGGTAAAATGACTGGATTCCACGAGGGGGTGTGAAGTAATCACTTTGTGACACTATGGACTGTCTAACGGAGATTGTAATATCATGGACAACTTAATAGAATTATTTTATAAAGCTTTAAAAGAGCTGTGCCATAATAATAAAACACACCAACTGAATTTGTATCTTCAGGACATTCAAGATTTGAAACAATTGTAATTTAAAGTACCTTAAAATTAGGTAACACTAACCAGTAACTATCAACTAAGATCCTAAAAAAGTACATTAAGCTTCAGTAAGAGGAAGAAGCCTTTGTTAGGTATAATTTTTAAAAAGACAAGAGTTCTATGCATAAAATGGAACCCCCAAACAGACTAATGAAGGAAGCAAAAACATTTCAAAAGTCCCTAAAATTTTTCCCATGTAGGACATTGTTTCTGACACTACATTAAGTTCACAGTCACCAGCACACTTGGCACAAATAAGCAACAATGTGAAAACATTCCAAATTGATGACCATTTATAACGCTCCCTGACCCAAAGTGAACTTCCTGTATTCAAATATCCTCTGGACACACTGCTAACAATCAAATGCAGACCGTTCACTTATACACAAGACAGGGTTTCTTCCCTGCAGTCGCTTCTGCGCAGAAGTCACTCACTGTTAATTAGCCTCGCAGATCTCACAGAAACCATTAAAATGCTCAGACGGATGTTTTCAATGGCCTTTAAAGGATTCTGAAAATAATCTTTCCTTCCTCACTCATACTCCATAAATTATATTTTTAGAGGGTAGTTTGGCAGAAAGCGTTATACACTTTCTTGAAAAAGTACACCTAAGAAATACTCTGTATTTTTTAAAAACAAGAAAAGACACCACAATTAAAGTACAATTCAACTTTATTGAGACATTACTGATTCATTATTTGATAGTCTCACAGTGACATTCAGCACTTAATTTGCCAGGAAGCTTTCTATTACTTCCTATTAGTTAAATAAATTGAAACCTTTCTCCCAAAGGTCAGAGGAAAGGTTCTGGCACGAGATAAAATTTTATATCTGAAAGTTGGACAAAGTACATTAATGGCCCCTGAAGTGCTCTCCTAGCACAAAGAGGAAACGTGGGACTCACTCCTCTCTCCCTTTTCCTCAGCTACACAGTAAGAGCCCTTCAGCTGGATCATCAAGTTGGCTTAAATGATCCCTAATGTAACTCATCTTTCTGAAATTCTATATAATTGATGCTAAAGAGAAGAATAGAAAGCATAGGAAAAACTCTGTAGGAAGACAGAATTGAGATTTTTATCCTCAAACTGACAGAGTTAAAGCCCTTTGCGAGAGACCGTTAAATATCTCTATAAAGGATATTTTTTGAGAAGAATAAGCCTTTCTTATCATAGAGAGCTACATTTAAAAAAGAGGGCAGCTGACCAAGCTTCCACCATAACTGCCCTCCCAAACAAGGGCCGTACGTCTAACTTCTTCCACAGCGGGTTACTACCTTCTTTTGGGCTTCCAATTTTTCAGTCAGGGAACAGGCAAAATGGACTATACTGCCTTTAACACAATCTTGAATTTATAACGTGGTTCCTCTGGGGAACAAGAGCCAAATTCACACGACTTGCTCTCACCTTTTAATAGAGCATTTAAGAGCTTCTGGGGCACTTTCATGTAGGTACATTACAGCTCCGTTTCCACAACAGGAATGTTAAGGTCTAGTATAATTTATTTTAATTAAAAAAGAAATACCTGAATCTCTGGTAACACTAATTGCCTGTCTGTTTTAATTCAGTGAGCTTTCACTGTGTTATAAAAAGGTTTTGTTTAAGAACAAAATTACCAACAAAAGAAAATGCTGAATCCACAGAGAACGTGATAGGTAAGAACAAAAATTCTTACCAAGATCATGTTAATAGGATTAGTACTTATGAAACCCAGCCCAAGCACTGCAGGCCTTAAATGGAAAGCTGATGGCTTTCAGAGGAAAAACGAAAACTTGGCCTTGACTATTTTTGCTAATTATATTACGGTGCTGCTAAATACAAAGTTGCTCTCTACTCCTTCCCTGAGAAGAGTTAACTATTGGTTAGACAATATGTGTTAGATAACAGTAGCCAAGTGCCTACCCCGACACGCCACATCTCAGGTGGGTTACTTACATTGTTAACCAAAGTATCCTCCATCTTTGCATTATTAGTAGCCACAGTGTTAGGCAGAGAAGAGGAAGGTGTAGTATAGTCTGTTACAGACTCCTGTGGAGGAGTAATAGAAAAAAATACGTTTTAAACTGAATTAATGAGTCACTTTCTAATGATGGCCTACCAGTTGTAAGGTTGTTCTGGAAGAAAGCAGGAGAGAGAGCAGACCTTATGGCTCAACTCACTCCAATTTTAACTTACAGGCCAACAGTGGGATAGAACAAACATGAAATCACCACTGAAATGATAACATCTCAACTGCTGCTGGGGTCCTGCATGTTTTTAAAATGCACTGCATGGTACTAGGAGGTTGTCAGTAGTACTAAATATTTATTTCTGCGGATTACTACAAAAAAATCTTTGTGTGGTTCTCATAATCTATAGCTTACTTTGAACTACTGACTTTTTATTCTCTTCAAAATAAAACAATGTAGATGAATGTCAAGATCTTGTCACAATTATTAGGTTTTAGGAAAAACTCCTTATTTATCTTCATGAAATTCTTTCAATATGGTACAATTGAGTCTCATGAGCTTTTTACTTATATATACATTGAGTTGTATGGCAATTAAAGAGAAAAATATTCAAATAATATGAAAGAGTCCATCTACCGTTCTTCCTGGAGTGAACACGAAATGCTGGATATAAATTTGCTATTCCCACAAGTGTTAGGCCCTGTACGTCACTCAGTGTAAGCTGCCTTAATGAGCACTTTTTAAATATATGCATCTTTCATTCAATGTGGTCCCTAAGCGCAAGCCACCTGCTTCTTCTGGTGCTCCACCAATGAAACGGTGGCCTGCCCGAGACTTCCTGGGAAGAGAACTAGCCATGCTGGAGTTCTGATGTCTGCCTTCTTTCCTACTAGTGGGCAGCACATGGCTCCACTGTACCTCCACTAGCAAAGGAAAAAGTAATATAGAGCAATTCCTGCAAAGCCTATAAGCCCAATGGAAAGCATTTTAATCTTGTGTAGACATTTTTCACTTTAAACTATTGAATGGCCCAGAATTAAGAGTAGATTTCCACAGAAAGAAATAACTTACTGTAACGAATATCATTAGCTCACATCTGCACAACGTGAAATAAAATCTGCTCTGTACAAATAACCCATGTAGTCTACAGAATTCCAGGTTGCAAACAAAACCGAACAATCAAGCAGCCACCTCACCGCTGGGTTCAGGCCCCCTCCGCCCCCGCTGCACGCTGCTCACCTTCACACCCGCGCCGTACTCCGCTGACGGCACTGAGATCATGGCTCCGAGGTCACCAGACATTTCCGACGCTGCCTTGGTGTCCTTCGTCGTCACCGGATCCGCACTTCTGACCACAGCAGGGCTGGGCTTCTCTTGTCCTTCTGGCTCCACCTGTTGTGCATCTTTCACTTTTCTATTCTTTAATGAGCGCTCCTTTCCAATAGGACCAGGTTTATGTTCTTTGTTTTCTACTGGACTCAAATCTGGGAGCTAAATTCAATGTTTATAACAAAAAAGGCATCACAATCAAAGGCATTCACTACAGACAAAATTCAACTCGAAACCGTTACTTGCTCTCGCTATGTGCTCGCTGTTTCATCGAGGTGCATCTGGAACATGGGCTGCTTACCTTCTGGGCTTTGATCGGGCCAGCCCGTGGCTGCTTCTGCCGCTGTTCTTTTGGTTCAGGTATTTTGTCAGTAGTTTTTTCCGAAAGCACAGGAACAATTTCATTTTCATTCCCGTTTGAAGCTGGAGCACCAAACTGAATTGTATCAATTCCAATTTCAACTCCGCTTTCTTGCCCATTCTTGGTTCCCTAGGTAAGAGAATATTTAAAAACTTGCTATCAAAACAGTTCATAATTGACCGAATGTTTGATGTTGCAGCACACATTTTAAAAGTATAATAGGTTTGAAGCAATCTACATACTGAGACTGATTAAGTTTTAAGGGAACTTGCCCCAAATGCTACTGATTTACATGTATTAGAAAAACAACCGACAAAGTGAAAACTAGGACAAGACCTACGTTTTTCAAGTCCTGCCTTTAACTGCCATGAGTATCATCAGGGGCAAATCATAGCCTCAAGTTATTTCATCATTTAAAGCAAACGTGAAAGAAACAAACACAGAAAGATATCACCAGCAACAAATAAACTGATGAACGAATGAATGAATGAATGAACGAATGAAAGAATGTGGGAAAGAAGATAGCAATACCAGTGCCGCTGCTACCTTCTAAGTGTGCTCTGAAAAGAAGATGAGGTAATATACATCACAGTACGCAGTGACTGGAATGGAGTGCACACACCGTGGAAACCCACTCACCCATTAAACAGCTCCTTTATGTGGCACCTTCTTTGTGCTTGGTACTGATCGAGACACATGTGAGCGATCTAATTTACTGAACTTGCATTATAGCGGGCAGAGAAAATAAACAACTAGAGAGTCAGATACGGGATATGCAAAAATGAAAATAGGGTTAAGCCACTTTAGATTAGTGGACAGAGAAAGGCCCTAGGAGGTCACACTGAAACTGAATCTAAAAGACAAATCAGTAGAAAGTGTTTCTGGCTGAGCAAACACTTAGTGGGAAGATCAAGAATGAAGAAGGCTGTGTGGCTGTGACAAAGCAGGTGTTAGGGGGGAAGAAGCAGGAGGCTAGAGAACACAGGGCTTTGGCTTTGTAAGCCAGAGGTTTTCCGGAACTACTACTTCATTTTTTCATGGAAGAACAAACAACAAAACAAAACTAGGGACAAGGTTCAAGTTCAGATCTTGGCCTTACAATTGAATCACTGGTTCATAATATTTTTGGCACCCATGAACTCAGTGTATCAATCAATTACTGTGAAAGGTTACTGTTATATTTTTTTAGTGTAACAACATCAACAGTATTAATAAGGCATGTCATTCAGATTTATTTTTAATACCTGACTATTCACTTTCAAATACAAGCAAATGGTATCAAAGTAACTTAGAATAAAATTCTCCATATGCTTTTGTTGATGTTGAAATGCTAGTCAGTTCAGTATAAATGTACAGTTAGTAGAAGAGCAAATTGGTGCAGCAATTAATGACCAAAAGCTATCTGGACAAAAACAATTAAGAACTTGTAAATAGTTAAATCAAATGGAAAATAGATTGATAGTTAATAGGACTATTAGAGAATGTTAGGCTGTTTTAGGAAGAATATTATATCTTTTGAAACAAAAAGTGTTTAGAAAATACACATAATACAAGGGTAATAAAGCTTAGATTATATTATAATATTGATCTTTGTGAACCTATTTAGTGTGACTAACACTCAGTATTACACAAAATACTAATTAAGAACTAGAGTCATTCAAGAAGTCCCATTAAATAATTTTTTCCATCCTGTTAAGTGAATTAAAAATAAAGTATCAATTTTACAAATTATATATTTCACTATGAGGAAATACTCCAAAATGAACATCAACAACCAAAAAAACTCATCTCCTATCTGGAAAACATAAAAAAAAACATAAATAGAATGAAGAAAAACGAGATACCAAAACACCTTCCTCCTCTCTTCCAACTGGCTGAAGATGAATATAAGCAACCCTTTAATATTGCAAACATGTAGCAGGATGCAAAGAAATCTTTTGGCTCAGAGTGCTGAGAAATTATTATTCCTGTACTTTAACACCAATGTAAAAACCTGAATATTTTAATAAACTTATTAAATCCAGTGCACCCATCCAAAACAAAGAAACAAACTTTCCGCGTCAGCCTTCGTATTAGCGTAAAAAACCTTGAATTTTCTGTATAAGAAATGCTCTATGATTAATCAGTGTCAATACCAACAGGCAGAAGAAAAATAATTAAACTGAGGGTCTTAAATATTGACTCCAGTGACTGTTACTTCTACTTGTACAAGGAGTTTCTCTGTAGAGCTTTTAAAATAGACGATGAGGCCTATTCCAGACCTAAGTCAGAAGCTGGCGTTGGGGTAGGACAGCAGGAAGACTTCTTAAAAAAAAAATCTCAACTGTATCTTCATGTGCTGCCGCATTCACAGCAGAACTAGTCTGGGTTCTCTACACTCATCTTTCCTCCCCTTTTCTCTCCCATTTGTTCTTGTCAAAGTCACCAGAGACGTCCCCATCGTTAACTCCAACTGTCAACTCTCAGGGCCTATGGTCCTTGACCTTCCAGCAGCATCTGACGCACTTGATTTATCATTCTTTCCTGAAACTCACTCTCACTCGGATTCCAGGATGCTTTTCCAATCATTTGGCTTCTCCATCTCTCACATCTCCCTAGGACTTCGTTTCTGACTCTTCTCTTTTCTAACGACTATGACTCATTCTCCCTTGGTACTTGCATCCAACCGTATCACTTCACTTTAAGCAACACCTAATGACTTTCAGATTCATGTTTCCAAACTTGAATATCTGCTCTGAGCTAACTCATACCCAAGTACCTAGTTGACATTTCCATTTCGGTGTGTCATAAACATCTTAATCTAACATGTCCAAAACGGACTCCCTGATCTTCTCCCCAGTGCTGGCCCATTTCATAGCTTCCCAATCTCAACTGCTGGAAACTATTCCTCTTGCTCAAGCCAACAACTCAGGAGAGAACTTTTTCTCACATACCACATTGAATCTGGAAATTTACTAGCTCCACCTACAAAGTCCCGGACACCAACCATTTCTCATGCACCTTTAATGCCACATCCCTGGTCTAAGTGATCATCATTTGATGATTGCAACAGCATTCTAACTCCTACACTCTGCAGACTACCCAGAATAATCTTTCTCAAGTCTGATCCTGTAATTCTTTTGCTGACATCTGCCAAGTGTCTTCCTGTTTCTCCTCAGGCCCCACAGGACCTACCCCCATTATCTTTTCTTTATTCTTCCTCCATCCCTTACGTCACTCCGGCCACATGGGCCTCCCTGACCTTCTTCCAACACCCCAGGCACGTTCCTGTCTCCGGCTTTTGTTTTTGCTTTTTTCTGAACCAAAAATTCACTTTTCCTCAGCATCTGAACAGCATGCTCTCTTACCTCCTTCAGGTCGTTAACTCAGGTGTTGCCCAAGGAGCCTTTCCTGGCCACCTACTGGACATGGTCTCCACACCCCCGGGGAGTTCTGTGTGCGCCTCCCCTGATGCTTTCTCCTCAGCACTGATCGCCACTGAATCCACTCTATGGTATTTACTGAGTCCCCACAATACAATGGGAGCCCCCCGAGTGCAGGGCTTTTTGTCCATTTTTCACCCCCCCCCCCCCCGCAATTTATAAGCCCACAGCTAACAACAGTGCCTGGCACATCACAAGTGCTCAATAAATGTTTGTTCAATGAAAAAATGAAGACCTGCTAACTTAAGCAGTCATTTACCAACATGGCACATTTTAGAAATTATGTTAGAACAATCTCCTGTAAACTCTGCTTCTAAGTAATTATACTGCCTAATTATTCAAACTTAAAAGTGGGAGGCAAGTCCAGAAAATAGTAAGTGCAGTTCCATTTTCTGTATCCAAGGACTTTTCCTGAGGCTAGAATTTAAAAAGCGTTAACCGTAATGCGTACGAGGCAGGAACCCCGCAGCCTCAGCACCACTGGGGAACCTGTTAGACATGCACTCAGGCCTCGGCCCTGAGGAGCGAAGCAGCTCTGCCTCAGACAGGTCTATAGCGAGGCAGGTCCATTCCTACCTCGGACGGAGCAGCTGATCCGAAGGACGTGAGAGGCTTATTCCAGGCACTGACTGACGGCGGCTGTGGTGGGCTAATGGGACCTACTGAAGAGAATAAGCCACAGGAGATGTGATCACGGAAGCGAAGAGCCTCATAGTTGCTCATCTGTTTCATCCTCTTTCATTAGTAGCGAGGCACTAAAAGGATGACTTTTCACATCACCCTTGAAGAGACTCTCGCATACCAAAATAAAGTCTCCCCAAACATTGTGCATTACTTTTATCGACACAAAATAATGTCCATAAAATACGGCTCTTAAAACTATAACATACTTGTTTGAGAACCAAAGTTTTTAAGAAAGGAAGTGAAGAAAAGATTACTATTACTGCTTCCTACGAAGAAAAAGGAGATGGCTAGAAAAAAAACAGATTTAAACCAAACCATGATCCACCCATGCAACCTCCCACCCTCACTTCTCAGTTGCACACTTACATTTCTTAGAGATGTCATTCAGCACAGCTGGCGGGGCCACCTTGCTATCCCATAATTCAGTTGTAAGAGTGCTATGTGACTGTGAGGGCTGGATGGGTTTTCCTGGGGCGACATAATCTGTGCCATTGGGTGTCTGAGCTGAAGGCAGTCTGATTGAAGGTGGTGGCTGTTTGGAAGACTGTGCTGTAGTCTGTAGGGGATTCTGGGCTGGTTTGTGAGTCTGTCCCTGAGTTTGGGCTGGGGCAGCGGGGCCTGGGCCTGGGCCGGTGACTAGGGCTGGCGCGGGGGCAGGGGTTGGGGTTGGGGCTGAATTGGCTGGGACAGTTGGGGTTGAACTGGCTGGGGCAGTTGGGGCTGAGCTGACTGGAGCTGGAGGTGAAGCTGGTGCTAGAGCTGAAGCAAGAATGGGAATTGAGGCTGAAGCAAGGATGGGGACAGAGGCTGGGGTGGAAGCTGAGGCAAGAATGGGGACAGAGGCTGGGGTGGAAGCCGAGGCAAGGATGGGGGTTGGAGCTGGAACTGAGGAAGGGGCTGTGGCTATAGCTGTGGCTGAGGTGGAGGCTGGAACTGGAGCTGAGGCTGATGGTGGGAGTGGAGTGGAGGCTGAGGTTAGGACAGGAGCTGCGGCTAAGGCCGGAACTACAGCTGAGGGTGAGGCCGGACCTGGAGCCGGGGTTGAGGATGGAACTGGAGCTGTGGCTGAGGCTGAGGCTGGACTTGGAGCTGAGGCCAGCGCTGGAGAAGGAGACTGTGCTTGCTGGGTCCCTGTGGCCTGCTTTTTAGCAAATCTTGGGGGAAGCTTAGAAGTCTGACTTCTTCCTTTTTCATTTGCGTTCTTTTTGTTCCAGACCTTAACAAATGGGTAGATACCATTTTTGTCAATAAAAAAGCTCAAAGCAACAGTTCATGAATACAATATCTAGCAAAGCTACCTACTGCTAATTTAGCTCCTGTATTTTTCAAAATGGGTAATTCACAGATCAAAAATGTCAAGGCTAATGAGATTTTAAACTTCGAGAAGCCAAGATGCTAGTTACCGGGGAAAAAGACAAGTCATAATATATAGGATATATGCACTGCTATTTTTATTTTCCTAAAATATGACTTCTGAAAATGTCTAGTCTCAGAGGTTTTACATTCAATTGAATTCAACATTACTACCCCCATTTTTACAGTGTTTCCTGTTTTTAAGCCTTCTCATCTTTTAGAGTTCTTTATCACTATGACCTGTGTGTTCCACTTATTTTTATCCTATGTCAGCATTTAGCAAACTGGGTGTTTGGGTTGATTTAAATGGAGTAACTTATCTTGATTCATACTAAGCATTTTAAGTGAACTAATTTACATTATAATACAAACATTGTAAGTCAAGAATCTGTAATTTATTAGATCATGGCAGTTGTGTTTGTTATACTTCCAAGGTAATTTAAAATGAACTCTAACTCTGACATGAGGTAAGATGGAGCAAATAAGATGATTAGTACGGAACATAAAATATGTTGCTGAACTAAAGGAAAAATGGTCTACTCTAAGGCAAACAGTGATTATATTCTACTTGCAATTTATCTCAATTCTAGTTAAAAACAGTTTAAGTGTGAAAATCAAGCCATTCTCCACACTGGAATAATCAATGCAGCCTTGACTTCACAGCTAGGTAGAACCCTTACCCATTTGCTAACACATTTTGAGCAACAATCTAAATAACCAGCAACAAACTGAAACACTAAACCTGGATGATCTGTTCTTCCTTCTTTCGGCGCTCCTCGTCCTGTAAACGTTTTTGTTGTTTTTTGGATACCACTTCAGTAAAACCATCATCATTCAAATTTGACTGTGGGTCTTCAACTACTGTTACTTCAGGATGGTCATCAATTATAACAACACCTTATGGGTATGGTAAGAGATTTAAAATAATTGTTTTCAATTGAAAAGATAAACAGAAATGTTTAGTCTAATAGTGATTAAAAAAAAAAAACAAGGCAGAAATCTAGTTCTTATAACTCATACTATAACCCATTTCTCACACCATAAGATGGCCCTTTATTATTAAGATTTGAAAAGATTTCATAAACAAGGTTAACAATAAGCCCTAAAACTATCTGCTTTGAATGACGTTTTTTCTTAAGCAGTATAGTAGTAACATATTTAAAAAAAAAAAAATCAAAATTGCCCTATTATCCTACTCAAATCACTTACCCTCTACCTCTCCCAGCCTCAGATCTGCACTGTGCTCTAAAGAGCTACATAATATGTTACCTCCTTTTCACCTAACCATTCTAACAAGAGGGTTTTACTACTGTTTCCCCTTTTCAAAGGATGAGCTAAGCTCTGAGACTGATTTGCTAGGTGATAGTAGCCAGCCAAGTTGGTCTTATGACTCTTAATGGCTCTATTTTATGTAGACCACTGTCTACAATGTGTGGTTGTTAAAAACAAAATGTGTGCAAGTTCACTCGCTCTTTAAGTGACATGGATGTGCACACCTCATAATAGTTCGCAGATTAATAACTCCATTCACTGTCCAACTAACAATTATTCTGGCTATCTTGTTAAAATTGTCATGTATCCCAGGGAGTATAAGAAATCTAGATCCATTAAATAATACTTAAAAAAGTAAAAGTTCAGGTGATGTGATTTGGGGTTGTAGGTATAATGTTCACGCAACGAATATAAGAAATGGGTGAGGTAAATAAATTAATTTTGCAAACCATGTACGATTTAATTAGGGAGCACATGATAAAAACAGATAGTTGCTTGGGAAAGATACACACAACATTTAGAATGGTGAAGACTTCTGAGAAGGCAGGAGGGTATAAGGCATCTACCTGCAAACAATTCTTTTTAAATAGCTAAAAATTCGCATTTATGTAAACACTGATAGGAAAACAAAAATAAATAGTAACACTAGCTTTCACTCCCTAAGACATCTCTTCATAATTCTCCGCAGTTTTCACTTAGGTTAAAAGGTGTGCGTGAAGCTTACATGCATGGCCATGCCATCACGCATTATTTCATAACTTTTTTGCCAAAGAGTTTAGAATCTTCTGAAGAGTTAGTCCACCCAGCTACGTGCAGCATTTATGGACATTTAAACAATGCTTTGTTTTCAACACTCTTTTCTGGCCTGGTGCTTTGTAACATTCTGGGCTGAGATATTACCTAACAAATGTTATTAGGAAAACCACCTAGAGAGGACTACCTGAAATTTAAGTTTAATGAGTTAAAGCAAATAGCTCGATTTCCATCATCGATTCAGAAAATACAGTTCTTACCTTTTTATATTATGTCTTAATCCAATAATATAATACTTTGGGAAATTTCCACTCCAAAAGTTCTTTGGAAGAAGGAAAACAAGTAAACAAATATCTGGGAAGACAAGTCTTCCATGTTCTGTGGACTTTTCATAACCTCCCCTGTCACTTTCCAAATGTGGTGTTTAGATGGATGCTGGTCTCCTGGACCACCATCAGGTTAGCATCCCAGCCTCCCCTGGCTTTCCAGCTTCCGCACTGTTAGCATTTTGAGCTGCATGTCCTGCACACTGCAGATTTCAGCAGCACCCCTGGCATACGCCCACCAAGATGTCAGTAGCCTCCGGCCCCCAGGTGAGCCCCTGGTCTAGAAATAATGCCAAGGCCGTGGGCCCAAACCAAGTTTATGTGCATAAATAACCACTAAGTAGATGAAAGAAAACTCTCACCTACATCTTTACTACTCAAATAACAGAACCTAACCTATGTTTCCCATTACTATTGCCTGGTCCTAACTTAGTAAATTGCTCAATTTCACTCAGTAGTTTCAGTTTAAGTGTCAATTGAATGAATGGCAAACAGCCCATTTTTACATGAGGTATCTACTCATAGTCTTTAGCTTCTGTATCAAATAGCTTATTGCTTGTGCTACCTTTTGCATTCGCTATCCTATCACTTCACAGCTTTCTGAATATTTATCCAAGGCCATACTGCCTCCCATCCTATCATCCTCTATTTACCAGATCTTAGATACCAATTTCATCAAGGTCCTAACTCAATGAGGTTGACATTTCTTTCATTTAAGACACAGCAAGTGTACACGGATGTAATTCTGTTCCAGTTACATCAGTTAGTGACTCATAATCAGCCATTATCTCTGCCTGGTGGGTTCAGCTCTTTCCTTCTTTGCTAACTTCTTTATTTATAGCATCTACCTCAATGTAACACACAGACAGACAGACAAAGACATACTTGCGTAATTGTTGAGATCAAACTGTGACAGCGCGTCTGCTTTTTCTTTGGGCTTTTTAGGGCCTGGCTTGGGCTCTTCCCTCTTCTTCCCCGCGGGGTCTTTGCTGTTCTTCTGCACCGTGCCATTGGCTGCCCCTTCCGGGTGATGTGCACAGCTGCCACTGGCCGGGTCAACGCCAGCTGGACCTGCAGACTGGTCATCAAACGGCCTACGAATAACAATTTGAGATATGATCTCTACACCCGAAAGAAAGAAAAATGCTCTTTCCTGGCAATTTCTAAAATTCAGCCTAAGAAGGACCAGCAGTGGGATAGAGGATTCTTAACTCAAAACCAACAAGCCTTGGTGACTTTTGTTGAGTATAACTTCACTAAGACTGAGCTTCCCAATAAAGGAGATGGACTAGCTCACTAGAGTAGTTCTTCCCAGCAATCAAATTCTAGAATTCCTATCATTCTTTGAAGGTTGTTATCGTGTCATTTGTCTATCACGTTATAAATAAATGAGCTAATTAACATTGTTTATAGCAGAAAATTTCTGTGATGCAAGCTAGTTCAAAGTATTCACTACTCGATCTTCTCCACAAGAGGGCAGCATATGAACGCATTTGGAAAAGCACTGTTTACAATGTATGTGTTTTTAAAGCTCAGATTTATACATTAACATAAACATTTAAAAAAACCCACTTTCATCTGGAAACAACTTGCTTCACAAAACAAATGTTATCTCTACAGTTTTTGTTTCCTAACAGGCAAATTCTATTCTTGGGTTTATTGTATAAAAATTGTATGAAAACAGATCATGGAAAATGGGTTTACTAAATCGTTTTCATCTTAGCCTATATCACTCAAGATAAAAGCTTATCAAGTGCCGGACACAAAGGGTGACCTGAAATATCTAAACACTTATTTTAACTACAAGAAGTTACGTGCCATTTCTGCAGGTTCACAGCTGTTAGCACGCACATGGCACAAAAGTCTTGCTTAGTAGTTGAGATCTACAGTGTACAAAATCAGATCAAGGTTTCCCTTAAGTATTATGCGAAATTCTAATAGTTCAGTTATAGTCAATAACCATATTGTTTTGACTATGTATGCTATCCTTTTCTCTTCAGCTTAAAAAGGGAGGCTCAAATTCTGTGTTAAGCAAGTTCTCAGGAAACACAATTGGTTGCATTATATCCCAGAACATTTTCTCAATTATCAGAAAGCAAAAATATTTTCACTGATGTATGTAGTAACCTGAAATGCTAGGTTATGCAATTAACCACTGCAGATTAATATAATTTTGTCTAAATAAATTTCTTACCGGCTCAAGCTGCAAACCTGGGAATTTGATCAAAATAACAGTTGCTTACTACATAAACCAGGTAGGTATTATGCTAAGTGCTTCACAAATACCATATCAGTATCTTCACACATTTTAATAAATACTATTACTTTCTCCCCATTTTACTGATGATGAAGCAAAAAGTTTATACAACTAGTAACTGAGCCTAGATTTAAAACTAGGCATAATGCTATTTTATAATTTTCCCTCATACTAAAGAAATCAACAATACTATAACTACCATTCTAACATTTAAAAGAACACACTAAATTTAGCACAGTTTAGGAAAATTCTTTTAAAAAAATACCCCGTGAGATGGAATTTATGTTATTGGTGGCCTGGATGGGTGGGCAGGACTTGGCTTTCTGGGTTTCTCTCTAGCTGGATCATTAACGGTAGTTTGCAGCTACAGGGGGAACATAACTCCTCCCGAAGGTTCATCCATCATTCTCGAGAAACCAGCACAGAGTGAAAAGGTTTATAGGTACCACATATTAATTTAAGCCCCAGATGTCACGTGTGAGCACTGGGGTTTTGCAAAGAGAAGAAAGGTGGGCTGCTCATCCCCAAGATGACGACTTGCCAGGTGGAGGGCACTGCCCGGCTCCAGGCCTAGGTGTGGGATTTCCCCCAAATCTAAGAGGCCTCTTCTGGAAATCTAGGCAGGCAAAGACTCCCTCTCCTTGAGAGCGAGAAAAGAATCTGGGGAGAACAACGTGGTCCTCTAGCTAGACTGGCTGCTTTCCTTTGCACAGCTCAACCAAGAAGTCGGCTCTGATCTCTTTGAAGATGCAGGAGTAATTACATCTAAAATAAAGCACTCACCCTCGCTTCCCACTTTTTGATGGCGGTCCACTTCTCCTTTCATTCCTGGGACCTGAGAAATTCCTTCCGGATTTGGGGGGACCGCTGTTGCCGCGCCGATTCTGGCGGTCGACGCCAGGTCTTTGACTAGAAAAACTTCTCTTCGCTACTTCTCGTTTTGGGGGTGAAACATTCTCTCCGGCCTTTACAACAGCTTGTGCATTCAAATCAGCATTTTTTTTCTCATCCCTCTCCCGCCTCTCATTGAAATCGCTGCTTTCAGAAGCTGTTTCCCATTCTTCATTTGCCTGATCTGAAGAGTTCTGATTCGATAAGTCAGGCGTCTTATTCCCAGAAACCTCCCCGGCAGTATTAACTGGCTCCTGAACTGCAGTGTTCACTGTGCCGTTGGCGGGCACTGCCACCTCAGTGGTTTTGGAAGCCGCCTCCCTCTCTCTGAGCCGTCTAAATCGAGGAGGCTTATCTTGCCTGGGTGGTCGGGTAGGTCGCTGCCTCCGGGGCCTCTCTCTAGCAGGGTCAAATTTTCGCTCAAACTTTGGAGGTCGTTTATCTGTGGGCATAGGAACAAACTGCTCATGTCTCCTTGGTGGTTCTGCATCGTCTAGTTTAGGAACTTCCGGCTGCCTGGGGTTCCATTGATTGTCCCGATAGGCAGGTCTCCGCAAGGTGGACGGACGCGATGGGCGGCCCCCGGGGTCCCTGCCGCCGCGCCTGAACGTGCCCCCTCTGCCTCGCCTTGTGGGCTCTCCTTTAGGAAGGAATCCTGGTTTGGGTTTATCATCATCCCTTACATAAGGTTTTTCTAGAGGTCTGTGATCTATTCGGACATGATTTTCAGGCTTGAAAGATGATTGAGGCTTTACAGGTTTTTTGTTTTCAGGCCGTTCCTCTCTTTTGGGAAGTTTGCCTTTGCTCAGACTGTCCTTGTCACTTGCACTTTCATGGATTTCACTGTCCGTGTCAGTCTCTGAGCCACGCTGTCGCCTTCGTTTGGGAACAACCTCAAAATCAGAGCTCTCACTTCGCGTCTCACTTTCTTCTCGCTGTCTCAGGGGTCCTGCAGGCACGTGCTCTGTGCGTGGTTTGTTGTCTCTGTACTGAGGGTAATCTCGCGCATGGCCTCGACCGCCTCGGCCGCGCCCGCCGTACGAGCCCCTGTAGCTTCGGCCTCTGGAGTAGTACTCACCTCGGCCTCGGCCTCGGTATCCTTGATCTGGAAACCAGTCTCTATCTCGAGCTTCTTTCCAATAGGTCCTGGGGGGTAAAGATGGTTCTTTTCTAATCACTGGCCTTGACTCTGGTCGAGGTCGCTCTGTAATAAGGTCTTTGCTGATGACTTTCTCCGGCTGTTTCTCTTCTTTGACTGCTGGAGTGATGACAGTTGGCTGGTTTACCGTTTTAGCTGTAGGCTCTACCTCAGCGCTACTTACAGCTTCTGAGGGCTTCTCAGCCTCTTGAGGTGGCTTTTGCGCCAAGTTTGGAGTTTCTGGCAAAGGAACTTTCTCTGGCTCTGGCTGAGGTGGTGGTAGACCCGACTGGGGCGGGATCGTTGCTGCTGGAGGTGGGGGTGGGGGAACAGGATCTTTCTTTTCTGGTTTTTCAGGTTTTACCACTTTTTCAATGACCTTTTCCCCCTTCTCTCCTTCCTTCTCCTTCCTCTGCTCTCGCTCCTCCTTCATATCTCTAAGTACAGGTTTTTTAATGGGACCCGATCTCCTCACAGGCCTATCACTACCATCGTCTCTTCTGCTGGAACTTGGCCTTGGGCCCCAGCGGGTTTCTGATTTAGATTTATACAGTTTTTCTGGCTTTGGTCCTTCAGATCGTAGAAAGCCATCCTTTTTGGGTTTGTCCTCTGGCCTTTCTGCTGGTTCTTTTGCATCCATGCACCTGCTGGTTCCTTTGGGAACGTTAGCAGACGGCTCGTTTCTCTGCTCCTCTGCTTTCTGCGTGTGGCTCGGTCCATGGGAAACGCTCCTCTTCCGGGCAGGCTGACTTTCTCCGGCGGAAACCCGCTCTTCCTGAGGAGTGGGTGCAGCCTTCTGATCAGGTCCATCAAAACAAACAGGCTGCTTGTTTGTGTCAGTGTGGTGGGGTCTAACGTCTTCCACGGATCTGCTTAAAAACTTTTGTGCTTCGGTTTCACTGGCTTCTCTAACAAAGTCTGCTTTTGGATGAGCCTCTAATGGACTGTGTTCTACAGGATAAGCAGCAGTAATCGGTTCCTGATCCAATGGGGCTTCAGGCCTAGGATAACAAGAATTCAAAGGCATAACCATCAAGGCAAAATCTTTCTTACGTTCAGTGTACAGCAAAATAATCCCTAATTTTAAAACAAAACAATGGATCTTAATCATAAAGAGCATCTTTATGTTACTATAAAAAGTTTAGTGCAGCATTATTTGAAATAGCCAAGAGGTGGAAACTTAAACCTCTACTGACAGATGAATGAGTTAAGAAAGTCTGGTATATATATTAATACATACAAGGGAATATTATTTAGCCATTTAAAAAAAATCCTGTTATATGCTATAATATGGATGAGGACATTATGCTAAGTGAAATCAGTCACAGAAGGACAAATGCCACATGACTTCACTGATAGGCACAGAACGTAATCAGACTTATCCAAGCAGGAAGTAGAATGGTAACTGCCAGGGACTGGGGGATGAGGAGCTGCTATTAAATTGGTACAAGTTTCGGGCCAGCCGAGTGGCGCGATGGTTAAGAACTCGCTTGGGATGCCAGAGGGCCCCGGTTCGGATCCCACATATGAGGGCCAGTGACACTGCCCTCTACAGCTAAGATGCTGAACAACGGCTCAACCTGGAGCTGGGCTGCTGTGAGTCGCCAGCGACGGCGTAGGCTGCAGTCCCTGTGGCAGTGGGTTGCCATGGGCTGCCGTGTGTAGCCAGCAGCCAGCATGAGCGGCCAGCAGCCGCAGTGAGCGGCCGTCCAGAAGCCGGCGACTGATCTGCCTCACCCGGGAAGAGCGCAATGATGGTGCTAACTTGGGCCAGTGAAGCAACGTCCTCCACAACTAGACTGAAGAACAAAAATGACAGCAACTTGTCTGTCCCCCTTCCCCCAATTCCCCAGCACTGTTCCCATCCCCCCAATTCACCAATAAAAATCTTAAAAAAAAAAAAAATTGGTACAAGTTTCAGGTGCACAAGATGGAAAATCCTGCACCAGAGGAGATATGTCTTTCCCAATGAATCAGGATTATAAAACATCATAGAATACACAAAGGGCGCAAGTTCTAACTTTATGGTTACAAATTATTAAAGATCACCAATTGTTTGCTGCTTCAAAGTATCTTTGTAAATTAGCATATGTCCTTATTTTGGCCTTAGTAAACTTCCATAAGATATTAACAATTAAATGGCTACTATTTTTCACTAGTGGAAGAATTACATCAACAATTTAGCCAGACTACGTCAAGACCTAATCAACGGTAGCAACCTGCCAATTTTAACAACTAACACTAAATTCCAGCATTTAATTCAGTGTCCAGAACTAGGTGAGAAAAAGCACCAATCAATACAGAAATGCAAAAGAAAAGGAGAAAATATATCCTCCAAAGAAATGACACAACACGAAGTGGGAGCCAATCAGGTTTGTGACTCAGTCCTAACTAACTCAGAATGACCGCTACACGGCTTTCGTTTCCCCACAGTATCCTCTATTTGGTGTATCAGCAATTGTAATAATTACCTCGCGCCCTCAAGCTCTCCTGCTGCCTTAGGAGTAGCGGCCTGCTGCGGCTCCGTATGAGGATAAGGATCGGACCCCCACATCATACGAGGCTCAGAGAGGGAAAGTGCATGATCTCTTGCAGATCGAGCTATGTGCTCAAATGGCTCAGAACCGTTGGGTGACCCTTCCATCTGGTCTCTTCTCATCAGTGGCTTAGGAGGAATCATTCCTGTACAAAAGGGCAGCAAAAGATGAAAAACAAAACAAAACAAAAAACAAACCACAAACAAACCCCAAAACACCAAAAGAAACAAGATCATAAGACATAGAATCTGGTTTATTAATTACTATTTGGTATTCTCTGTACTTAAGCTAAAGAAATACTTTTGCCAAGTAAAACTGATTAACTCAACAAATGGTCAATGACAATTATGAGTTTTTCCATGAATGAGATTTTTTGTTGTTGCTGTTGAACAGATCTAAGAATAGAGAAAACAAAGCCAGCAAAACCATAATAGCAGCCTATTTTAAAGGAAATAAAATAGAATCAGGTAACAAGCACTGTAACTCTATGCATGCTAAAACACACAAAAATTATACCAACAGTGAAAATATTTCCTATAGAAAACTGTACTGACCTAGTTCAATTAGTTGATCAATACGCTATAAATTATGCCTCTTAAATTTTAAATTTTCAGTGTAAGTTTTAAAACCATGATGGATTCTTGATCCTGTTTTTATCCCTTTCCTCTATGCCATTTTAATAATGGATTATCTGGATTTATCCTATAGATTCCATAAGAGATTGCTAATTCGTTTTAAGCTAAACTACGAGGAAACAAGTGCTAGGCTGGTAAATGATGGAGAAATTGATAAGCAGGAATATATAATGTGTGGACAAAATTCAAATGCTATAACACAAAAGAACAAAAGCAATATAGCAAATAATAGATATTATTTAAAAAAACAATAATTTTCCATCTTAAAATTTTAAAATAATATCTACAAAACTGAAAATAACTAGTATTTTGGTTTTACCACACTGTTGGTACAGTGTCTGGCATTTAACTACTCTGTGCTGAAAGAAAGTTACATAATTTTATGATTAAAAATCTAAGGGCCCTTTAAAGTTCTTACCTGATTATAACTCTCAAGAAATTAAGACTAAAAATGGGGGGAAAATGAAAACCTGACCTTGTATAACTTCCAGTGCTAATTTCAACTCACCAGGATGAATGGGAGGTATATCCATAGCAGGTCTGCCTGACATCATCCTAGGGTCCATGTACGACTGCATCATGAGCCACCTGGGGTCAAAGCCCATGGACGCCAAATGCTGCGGGTGGGGCTGCATGGGCTGGTAGAGAGGCCTGTGCGGTGGAGGAGGGACGGCACCCCCGGACGGCTGGGACGGGACTGTCTGGGGAAGTGCACCCTGCTGCTGCTGCTGCTGCTGCCACTGCTGCTGCTTCATCTGCTCCTGAAAAACAGGGTCCCACAGCTGACATTCCACTTCCATGTGCTACGTTAATACAACCAAGCATGTCAGAAAATAATGGGCTTTTTTTCAATCCTTCAGGGAAAAGAATTCAAAAAAAGACATTTAACAGTGAGAGGTGGCAAGACAAAAGAACAAAGGATAAGTTATGACATCTTGACTTAAGCAACAAATCACTCGTTAATTATACTGTGGAAACCACTTTCCAGAAAGGAAGATAGATGGCGTCTATAAAGGAGGCAGAGGAAAAAAGAAATGACACAGAAGTTCATGGTAAAATACCTATCAACAAGCTCTTATTAAAAAGGGAAAATTAGTGTGCTTTGAGTATTTAAACCTTACGTCAAATTACTTCTCAGACAACTGAACAATAAACCTTTTCAACTGTACATGATAAAATGTTTTCCTTGTTACCTGCTGCCGCTGGAATCGTGGTGGCAAAGACTTCTGGAACTGTTTAAAATAGCCAGATATAACAGCGGGCCGAGGCTGAGACCCTGACTCCGGTTCTGCCTCATGCGCCACCTGCGAGGTCTCTTTTTCGCTGCGATTACTGTCTTGTCTAGTGAAAACTGGGTCATCCTCTGGCCAAAGAAAAGGTAGAAGAGAATGATATTTATCTATAACACTTAACAAATACATGATGTTTGTGCTGAAGTGAAATTATTATACTGATATCTATTACATTCATATAATAAGGAATAAGGTATCCTCAATACTCCAAAAAACTGTTTTGTATTCTAATATTGTAGCCATCAGTGAGGTAACATGAGATGAAAACCCCTGGTTTCCTCAAAGCTGGATTCTTATTAAGGCCGAGATCACAAGTCTAAATTTTCACCATACAAAAATCTGTATTTGATTTTTTGCAATAATAAAACATTTCAAATACTACCTACCGTCCATGTTTTAATAAATATTAAACACGTCTATGTAAGACAGAGGATTCTGGGATAACGGTGGAGTAGGAATAGCAGCAGCCTCTTTCCCAACCTGGACAACCACTGCCTGGCAGAGTCTGCCTTATGTAGCTATTTTGGAACTCTGGAGTCAACTGAAGGTTTGTAACTTTCAGAAGAAGGCTTGGACAATAGAGTGCAGTTAATTTCTGTCAATTAGAGCTCTCAGCACAGTACCAGCTACATACCCCCTATCTCATATTCAAATGCACATCTGAGCAAGCAGAAGAAAAAGTAAGTGAACTTGAAGATACAACAATGGAAATTAAGTCTGAGGAACAGAAAGAAAATAGAAGAAAAGTAAACAGAGCTTAAGGGACCTGTGGGACAATATCAATCGGACCAAAATACACACTAAGGGAGTTCAAAAGCAGGAGAAAGGGGGCAGACAGAATATTTGAAGAAATCATGGCCAAAAACTTCCTAAATTTGATGGGAAAAAAACCGAAAACCTGAATATAAACATCTAAGAAGCTAAACGAACTCCAAGAGACCAAATTGAGACACATTATAATCAACTTTCAAAAGACAATCTTGAAACCAGCAACAAAAAGCACTAAGAAGTAATAAACAAAGGATTCTCAGTAAGATGATCATGTTTCTCAGCAGAAACACTGGAGGCCAGAAGGTGGTGTTCAAAGTGTTAAATGAGGGAGAAATTAAGACATTCACAGATAAAAGCTGAGGGAGCTCATTACCATTAGACCTTCCCTCCACAAAATGCTCAAGGGAATCCTGTAGGGTGAAATGAAAGGATACTAGACAGCAAGTCAAAGCTGTATGACTAAATAAAGATCTCAGTAAAGGTAAATACAATAAAGGCAATTATAAAAGCTAGTAGTATTGTAACAGTCATCTATAACTATGTTTTTCTACATGATTTAAAAAATTAATACGTTTAAAAAATAAACTAATCATTAATCTAAAACCTACAGCTAAGACCACACTCAATGGTGATAGACTGAAAGCTGTTCCTAAGATTAGAAACAAGACAAAGATGCCCACTTGCACCACTTTTATTTAAGTACTGGGAGTTCTAGTCACAGTAGGCAAGAGAAAAGAAATAAAAGACATCCAAATTGGAAAAGAAGTTATTTGTTCACAGATCATATGATCTTATAATAGAAAACTCTAAAGATTCCACAAAAACTGTTACAACTAAGAAATAAATTCAGCAAAACTTAGATTCTAATTTAACACACAAAAATTACTTGCACTTCTATATATCAACAATAAACAATCTGAAAAGGAAATTATAAAAACAATTCCATTTACAAAAGCACTGAAAATAATAAAATGCTTAGGAAGTAACCAAGAAGGTAAAAGACTTTTATAATGACACTACAAGATACTGCTGAGAGAAATTAAAGGCATAAATCATAAATAAATGGAAATACATCCCATGTTCAAAGATTGGAAGACTTAATATTGCTAGCATGTTGATACTACCCAAAGCAATCTACAGGGTCAATCAAAATCCCAACAGCATTCTTTACAGAAATAGAAACACCCACCCTAAAATTCATATCGCATCTCAATGTACCCAGAATAACCAAAACAATCTTGAAAAAGAATAACAAAGATGGAGGACTCACACGTCCTGATTTTAAAACTTACTACAAAGCTACAGTAATGAAAACATTGTGACACTGACAAAAAGGCAGACATAGACAATGCAATCAAATATAGAGCCCTAAAATAAACCATCAGATACATACTCAAATGACTTTAGACAATTGTGCTGAGACCACTCAATGGGGAAAGGACAGTCAACAAATGGCGTTGGGAAACTGGGTATCCACATGCAAAAGAATGAAGTTGGATCCTTACCCTAACACAACAGACAAAACTTAACACAAGGAGGCCTAAATGTTAGCTATAAAACTATGAAACTCTTATAAGAAAACAGGGTAAAAGCTTTATGATATTGGAGTTGGCAATTGCATCTTGGATATGACACCAAAGGCAGAGGCAAAAAAAAGAGACAAATTGGACTGCATGAAAACTAACAAATTCTGTGCATCAAAAGAATATCCAGAGTGAAAAGACGACCCATAAAATGGGAGAAAGTTTTGGCAAATCATGTATCTGATAAGGCATTTTCACCCAGAATCTATAGCCTATTCCTAAAACTCAACAACAACTAATCTGATTCAAAAATGGGCAAAGGATTTAAGACATTTCTCCAAAGATGAGACACAACTGGCCAACAAACACTGAAAAGATACTCATCCTCACGAATGATCAGGGAAATGCGAATCAAAACTATAGTGAGATGCCACTTCATAGCCATTACGATGGCTACTATCAAAACAAAACAGAAGGGCAGGCTGAGTGGCGCGATGGTTAAGAACTCGCTTGGGATGCCAGAGGGCCCCGGTTCGGATCCCACATATGAGGTCGGATCCCACATATAAGGGCAGCTAAGATGCTGAACAACAGCTCAACCTGGAGCTGGGCTGCCGTGGGTCGCCGGCGACGGCGTGGGCTGCAGCCCCTGTGGCAGTGGGTTGCCATGGGCTACCGTCTGTAGCCAGCAGCCAGCGTGAGCGGCCAGCAGCCGCAGTGAGCGGCCGTCCAGAAGCCGGCGACTGATCTGCCTCGCCCGGGAAGAGCACAATGATGGTGCCAACTTGGGCCAGTGAAGCAACGTCCTCCACAACTAGACTGAAGAACAAAACGACAGCAACTTGTCTGTTCCCCTTCCCCCAATTCCCCAGCATTGTTCCCATCCCCCCAATTCCCCAATAATAAAAATCTTAAAAAAAAAAAAACACAAACAAACAAACAAAAAAAAACAAAACAGAAAATAACAAATATTGGCAAGGATGTGGAGAAATTGAAACCCTTGAGCACTGTTGGCGGGAGTGTGAAATGATGCAGCCACTTTGAAAAACAGTATGGTGGTTCCTCAAAAATTAAAGACAGAATTACCCTATGATTCAGCAATTCCACTTCTGGGTGTATATATACACAAAAGAAATGAAGGCAGGGTCTCAGAGAGATTTGTACACTCACTCTCACAGCAGCATTATTCAAAATAGTTAACACATGGAATTAATCCAAGTGTTCACCAACAGAAGAATGGATGAGTGAAATGTGGTGTACACATTACAATGGATTACTAGCCTCAAAAAAGGGAAATTCTGTTATATACTACAATATGAATGAAATTTGAGGACATTAAGTTAAGTGAAATAAGCCAGTCACAAAGACAAGAATACTGTATAATTTCACTTATATGAGGCACTTAGAAAAGTCAGTATCAGAGACAGGAAGTAGGCTGGTTGCCCGCGACTGGGGAGAGCAGGGAACAGGGAGCGAGTGTTTAACGGGTATAGTTTCAGTTTTAGCAGATGTAAAGAGTTCTGGAGGTGGATGGTGATGATGGCTGTACAACATTCTGAATGTATTTAACGCCACTGATCTGTACACCTAACAATGGGTAAGATGCTAAATTTTATGTCACATTTTACTGTAAGAAAAAAAAAGGGAAAAAAGCATATTAAAGTATCCAATAAAAGTTAACTTCTACCCAAGAAAACCATCTTTGGTTTATTTAGATTATATATTAAATTACTTTTTACATCTTTAAATTTAGGTATTAAACATGCACAAACATCAACACCATAAGCATTTTGTAAAGTGTATGTGAGAACAAACAAGACTACTATACCTTTATTTCCGCCGTTTTCACTTTCTGATTTTTCTACCATAGGCTCCAAAGCAGGTTCTTTAGGTTCGATTTTTTCCTCCACTTTCTCCTTTTCTTTCTTCTCCAACTCACACTCCTTTTCCTGTTCTTTTGTCTTTTGCAGTTCTAGCTCTTTTTCTTTTTCCTGCTGCTGTTCTAGTTCTTTCTCTTTCTCTTGCTTTCTTTCCTTCTCCATTTCTCTTAGTTTTTCCTGCTCTCTTTCTAGTTCTTTCTCCTTCTCCTGTTGCCTTTCCCTTTCTTTCTCCCGCTCCTTCTCCCGCTCCCGTTCTTGTTCTTTTTCAAGTTCTTTCTCCCGCTCCCGTTCTTTTTCTCGCTCCCTTTCTCTAATTTCTTCTGGCGATGGCTGCTTGTCCACTATGCCGAGCTTTTCGTTTAACCGTTTCAGCTTCTCGGCACAGGCTGCCTTCCTCTGTTCTTCCATTCTTCGCTCTTCCTCTTCACGCCGTTTACGAGCACGTTCGACCGCCGCCGACAGCTCTGACTGCTGTCTTCTTCTTTGCTTCCATATTTCATCCTCATCAGGTACTTGCTGCTTGGGGGGAAAAGGGCCTGGTCTTCCAGGTACTGCCTGTCTGTCTGGAGGAGGGGGCGGATGCTGAAACATGAAGAAGCAGCGCCAGGTGAGTGTGACAACCTATTTCTGACAAACACTGGATATCACAGGCATGAAGAGGGAGAAAAAAACTCCCACAAAATGTCAGAAATCTTCCTGATGAAACATATACATTAAGATGCAAACAAGTAACATGGGAAAAACATTAAATCTAGATTAAATCCCCAAACTAAAACCAGAATAATTAATCCAATCATCCAATATTTACTGAGCATGTGCCTACTTATCGTGCCGACACAATTCTCACCAGTATTTGGTGAATAAAATGAGAAGCTGCCACAACATGATTTTCAAAGTCTAAATTTAGAGACAAAGGAAATTTAGAATGAGTGCTTTAGCAGCAACTGCCAAATGGAATGCCCAAAGAGGGAGAAAGTCCAGAAAGATGCAAAATGGGACCACACGAGCCCTGAGAAGATCGGAGTGCCAGAGGAAAAGCAGACAGGAGACGAAGTAGAAAAGGAGGCCCTGCTGCCGCTACACGCCAGAGAAGTTCCTAGAAATCGGCCTGGGGAGAGGCAGCTCTGTGTTCAAATGGAAAGAAATGCACCTCTAGAACCCAAAGTGGAATGACGGAGGATCACCTGACACCGAATTTTAATGATTTAATTTTCAATTACCAGGTCCGAAAACAAGTACTATGAGGTGTAAAATTGCTCTTAGCGACTATGCAAAGACTAGCAGAATGAAGAGAGCACATGAGAAGGGTTGAAATATTAAGGAACTCAGAATAAACTGTTTTAAAAACTACTCGTTTTTAATAGCTACTAGGGTGGAAAAAATCTTAAAACCCATATAACTAATCAGAATCCTTTACAAAAGAGAAAATAATGGTGCAAAGAAGACACTGGGCTGAACATGAGAAAAACAAGAATGCAGCCTCCGTCATTTACTAAGTGCCAACTTAGGCAAACCGCTTAACCACCCTGCCGTCAGTTACTTCATCTATAGCTCAGACAAGCTGCAAAAACAAAGTAATTATAGAAAAGTACTGAATTTACATGTGAATTCAGAATAGGCATTTTTTAAAAAGCAACTTCACTGTAGTATAATTTACACAGATGAGATGTGCATGTTTCAACTGTACGGTTTTATGAGTTTGGACAAATGACACACCGTATACTACCGCCCCTGATGAAAAGAGCATTTTCATCAGTCCTCTGCCCGCAATCCTGATCTACTCCTGGCAAGAGAGAGAGGTTTCGCCTTTCCTACAATTCCATGGGAATGGATACATCAAGTTATATTCTCCTTTGTCTCTGGCTTCTTGTGCTTACGGCCATAATTGAGGTCACTGAGTGTATCAATCGTTTGCTCCATTCTATAGCTGACTGGTATTCAAGCATAGGCATGCCGTTTCATCCGTGGATACACAGGTGGGCCACTTCTAGCTTTTAAACTAGGAATAAAACAGCTATGGGCATTCATGCCTAAGTCTTTGTGTAAATGCGTATCTTCATTTCTCTTGGATAAATATCTAGGAATGGAATTGCTGAGTCCTATGTTAAGTATATGTTTCATTTTATAAGAAACTGCCAAACTGTTTTCCAAAGTCATTATAAGGTTTTACAGCCCCACCAGTAACGTACGAGGGTGCCAGCTGTTCGCTCTACAGCCTCACCAACACTGGGTGTCATCAGCCTTTGTAATTTTGGATGTGTTCTCATTGTGCTTTTAATTTGCATTTCCCTGGTGACTTAAGATATTGCACATCTACCTTTTCATATGCGTATCGGCCATTTGTATACCTTATTTTGTGAAGTGAATGTGCAAGTCATTTGTTGGGCTATGTACCGCATTATTCAGTAGTAAGGATTTTGAAAATTTTATTTTATTTTAAATATAACCAAAACCTAAGTTGTCAGATATATTAGTAATGTTTTTTCTGTGACAAATCTTGATGTTGCCTTTGAGATGCTTTTAGGGAAGGCCTCTAACGTGGTAACAGCTGATCAAAAAACTCAGTCAGAGGCCAAGATCTCAGGAAAAGAGCCTTCTAGTTAAAGAGCAAATAAAATGTCTGAGGGTGAAATAAAAAACAGCAGCAATAAACTTGTTTGGCAGGAACAGAGAGAAAAGTAGATGCAATCAGTTGAGTACCCAGAGACCTTAAAGGCCACGGGAAGGACTTGGGCAGGAAGGGCTGAGCTAATATGTACGATTTAAACAGACTATCTCCTAGAGGAAGTCTGGGGGGAAGGTGCTGGGTGAGCAGGTGGCAAGAGGAAAGCAGGAAGCCTGTCAGCAACCTCTGTGATAGTCCAATGAAACATACCAGGTGGCAGTAAGTACTCAGGGGAGGACTCGATTCTGAAGGCAGAAGTGGCCTAATATGCTGATAGGTTAGGCTGGATGTAAGGTAGAAGAGGAGGAGTTAAGAGCGACTTCCAGGTTTTAACCTGAGCAAATGGGTGAATGACAATGCCGGTGACCTGAGATGGGGACAATGGGGACGATGGGAAAGCAGCATGACTGCACCTGTGGGCGTGGGTGGTTGCTATGGTTTGGACATATGAAGTACAAGATACCCATCAGAGACCCAAGTGGAGATGTTGAACTGATTGCTGAACACACAACTCTTGAAGTCACGTTCGAGCTTCAAGGGCTCAAGACACACGTGTCAGCGGTACAGAGATGAGATCCTCTAGGAAAGGGTAAACAGTTGATCCTTGACCGACACGGGTTTGAACTCCCAGGTCCACCTATACGGGGATTTTTTTCAATAAATATACGTTGTCCTCTGTATTGCCAGGTTTCACATTGGAGGATTAAAACAACCATTTTTGATCCATGGTTGGGAATCTGTGGATGGTCCTGCAACCAATCCCCCGTGGATACCGAGGGATGACTGTAGTTAAGTTTTTGGGGAGTCCAAAGTTATATGTGGATTTTCAACTGCACGGAGGGCTGGTGCCCCTAACCCCGGGGTTGATCAACTGTTGTTAGAAAAAGGAATGAGAACAGCCTGGAGCCCTCCAACATCCAAAGATCGGCCCAGGAGGCCGAGAAGCAAAACAAGCTGAAGAAAACAACAGTGTGATATCTCAAAGTAAGTTAAGAAGGATGGAGAGATTAGCTATGCCAACTGCTGCTGAGAGCAAGTGAAACGAAGACACAGGAACTGGCTTTCGCAAGATGAAGTCATTACTGACCCTGGTGATAACAGTGTCATTCATAATAAATAGTGTCAAAGGTGTGGTGGGCGAGGAAAGCTGAAAGGAAGTGAAGCCAGCTCACTGAAAGAAGTCTGCCATGAAGGCGAAGAGAGAAAAAGGGCAGAAACTGCATGGCGATGGAGGGTGGTGGGAGTCAGAGGAGGGCTGGTTTAAAAAGTAATTTCAATATGGGAGACAATACAGCCAGTAAGCGATGGAAGATGGGATCCAGGGAACAGCAGCAAGGACCGATGGCAGGAAGGAAGTCAGAACAGGAAGGTGCTGAGGTGGGAAATGGAGGTGCTTATCATCTTCCCAGGGACATGGGGAGTATGTTACCAGCTGAGAACGAAGAGGGAAGGGATAAGGAGGAAGACAGGCAGGAGCTACAAGGTAAACCGCTTCGTAAGTTATAAATAAAAACCTTCCCATTAAAACAGTCAAATAATACGTATAAACCATAAACCAGCATTTAGTTAAAATTTACCTGCTGTGCCAGCAACTTTGGAGGTGGTGGCAGGTGTGAAGACGGCCCACGTTCCTACGGATTGTTACAAAATAATCAGATAAAAGATATCTATTAGAAATTTTTCTGAATGTGCGGATTTTTTCAGTGAGATCACAAGATTGCAAAAAAACCAAACCATCTTTATCCTTTTCTCTCTCTTTTTTTTTTTTTTTTTTTTAAGCTGAGCCATCCTGCTACCTGTTGGCAGCTCAGTGGCTGCTCAGCTAGGGCTGGACTTGATTGAACCGCTGTTGCTCAGAGCTCAAACTCTTGAGCGAGTCCTTTTCTCTTTTTAAATAAAAGTATACCACTGACTGCAAGATAACTTTCTGTTCTATAAAATCATTCTATGATTTCAATTAAGGTTAGACTCTCAAATGAACTTCGCAAAAAGTAGAATTTTGGTGTATGAATTCTGGAACTCTAGCCCAGGTAATCTTGCTGCTTAGAAGTATGCTTCTAATTTCAAAATGTTATTTATGTAAGCCCAATCCATTTCTGGGTTTTCTTTCTAAAGGCAAACTAAAACTATGAGATTTACCGAAAGAAAGATGTAAAACATGTTGGAACCGAATATAATATGGGGAACATTCGCTTGCTAATGTATACATCAGTGTCACACACACAGAAAAAATCTAGACATCAAAATATGGTCTTCATATTCCTCTACTTTTTCATGAAGAAAGGAATTATCATTCCCCCTTATGCCAGGCAGTTAAAAGTCTCACAAAACATGGATCTTATAAAAGATAATATTTGAAAAATTCTTCTTTTTCAGAGCTCATAAATTTTTCCTCCAATGGCTAACCAAATTTTAAACTTCCTCGCGCAGCACACAGGACATAACAGCTGGTCCTTTCACACCTCTCAGCTCCCCCAAATCAAACCACGGGGACTTCCGGAATGCGCCCTGCGTCCCCAGCTCCTCTACACTGAACCCACCCCCGCTGCTTGGAACTGCTCTCCTCCCTGAGTTTACTGGCTCTGTCCTGCTTCAAGCACCAAGTCTTCTGCAGACCCTTTCCAGAGAATTCTCTAAGAACTCACTATGTGCTCTCTACCACTACACTCCTCAGTGTGCTGTAATTGATCCTTGTCAGCTTTCTTTTCCTTCCAGAGACTGTCAACTACCTACTTTCAACTTCCTGAGGGACCAGTTCCTCCACCTGTTTGTATGAATTCAGGTGCGTGCTGCATGTACCGTGAGTTAAGCGGGCTCTCTGGAAGGAAGCCCTTTTTCATTACGAGTTTGCAATGCAGTTCTTTCTACATCTGAGAAGCAGGATCAAGTGTATCTGTTGCCCAACTAGTCCCTTTTGTAACAATGTTGTTCACTATGGCTCAGAATTCACAGATTTCTCTGCTCTGTCATCTCCCTACTCAGATAGGGTACAAGCTCACATACGAACACTGACTAGGTTTTACAAAGTATTCACCACAAAGCACTTCAGCAATGGTAGTTTGGCAAAACTGTTTATCGCTCCATTTAATACATCTGAGCTGTTGTAAGAAATAAAGGAACATTTTTAGTTTTTATCTGATAATTTCAGCTACTGTATTAATAGTTCCTGTTAATACGCAATGAAATTATGGTTTAGATCTAGAGATAGTCAACAAAAAACATAAGTTTCCTTTTCCTAAGTTTTCTTCCAAATCTATGAAATTAATTCATCCACAGTATCTGTAGTGACAAAAATCTCCTTGAGTCCAACAAACCTGATTAAACGGCGCTCCTTTCCCATAGGGAACTTTCGCTACAGAGGGCTGGGCAGGTATCTGAGATGATTTACTGTTGCACACTTCATCTGCTTCTTTTTGGGTTTCAGTGTTTTCAGAGGCTTTTGAACCTTGATCCTCACTGAAGAATCAAAATCAAGGTGAAACGAAAAAGTAAAGTGGGTGGACTGTACCATAAGTAAGTGCATTTCTCTATGTAAAAAAGACATTTTTTCCATATGGCTGCAGAGGGGAATGTATCAAGGGATGAGACGGTTTTGAGACCTAGTGGTGCTAACTCATTTATTCAGGAAATATGTACAGTGTGTTGGGGATTGGGCGGGGCCAGGTTATCACAAGATATCAAGTACAGTACAGCAGGGTCAGATATGGACACTCATACCTGACACACAACCTGGCAAAAAATAGAACCGCACCATTTTCTATCACTCCCCCCACCACAGTCTCATCTGAATGCAAATGGGTAATATTACAGATAATTAATAACTGTATCCTAATTTATGTTGACTTAATGAAAAAGATAAATCAAATTACAGTATTTTAAAAGATCACAGCAAATCGCAGGCACCTCACAAGTGGTCACGGAACAGCCGTGTATTACAGTGCAAAGGCCGAAAGGTACACCAGTGAGTGCATACAAGCACTGGTGCACTGTAAGGACCGAAATGTTACGCCATGTTACCCATATATTCCTGACTCGGGTGCCTCTATATTCCAGAAGAAAGAAAATAGATAAAAAGCTACCATTTTCTAAGACGCTGTTTGCTAAGCTTAAAAAAATCAAAGACTTGGAGCCACCGTAGTAACCCAAATGATTTTTCTCCAATTTTGTACATATGGATCAGGTCAAGTAAGTAACAGGTTCTAAAGTTCTACTGTCTCTCAAAATATCTCCAATTAGATGGCAAGCATCTAAACATCTTTTTTAAATATACATTTTCTTTAGAAACATCAAATTTTAATTCCTTGATTAGCTTTTCAAATTTGGCTCATTAATCACCTTCCCACTCAGTACAAGTCCTTGGAGTAGAATGTGGAAATTCTACAAATAAGGAACAAATGCCTATTAATGATGCCTCTCTGGTTAAATGGCTAACAATACATCAACAGACTCATCCTCTTAATCGTGTAAGATAGCACAACCACTCACCCGGTGTTTTCTTTAGGACTGCCGCTCCCTTGCTCATCATCATCACTGAAATTCAGCTGTTCTGTATAATCTACTTCCATCTGGGCACCTATTAAATTAAGGAAAACTCAGACTGACTGTTTAAAAGTACCTACAAATTTTAAATGTTTAATTAATTTTGCCTCTTACCTGCCCAACCTTCATCAGCTTCTGCATCTAGGTTATCAAACTTATCAAGCTCCTTCAGTTCTGATGCACTAAGGATGGAGGGGCGTTCAGGCTCAGGGGTCCAGGAAGGAGGCGGGCCTCTTCCTCGAGGGCCTCTAATGAATGAGAGGGTACAAGAGGAAAGGATGCAAAGTTTTAGTGATACTAAATTAGAAAAATTAAAAGATTGGAATTCAGCTGATTTCAATTCAACATTTTCTACACGCATATATAAAATACTTTGCTCCTGACACATGTATGAAGAAAATTATATAAATTTAGGACAATATAATTCTTATGCAAGTAATACTTTCAATAGTCAAAAATTTAAAATAAAACAAATAAATGTCAAAGGATAAAGCAGCCGAGGCTAATAGTAATTTCAAAATACAGAACTTTAAGAACAACCATCATTCAGGAGGATGTTCAAGCATTAAGCAAAAATAAAGAATGGGAGTCATTAAATCATAGAAGAAGGGAAAACAAGAGTCATCAATTTCTAGGGTCATAATTTTCAGTTTTAGAAGAATGTTCTGTCTTATAAAAGCTAGCCAATTATGGCAATTGTACTTTGAGGACAGAAAAAGTAAATTCATGATCACAATCCAGCCACCCCCCAGAAATCCTAATAAGCTTTGCAGACTTGAATCACTGAATAGTCTTACTTGTTTGCTTCAGACAAAGAAGGTGGAAACCTCATGGGACCATGAAGAGGAGGATACGCCATCCTCGGATACTGCTGAAACATCTAAATGTAGGAAATACAAATTGATCAATTTAGCAACCCATTTTAATACTTTCGTATTAAAAACAAAAAAATCCCCCTGACTAAGCCTGAGATTATAATTTACAGAAAACAATGATTAGAAGAATCTGGTGGTAAAGGTATTAAGAATTTGCAAGCGCTTTAGATTTTTAAAACTGAATGAGAGAACCCATCCTGTTGTTCCTTTAGTGCAATACAATAAAACTCTGAAGTTAAAAAAAAGAATAATTAAAATAAACAATATTATGTATAATTAACTTTTTCTGCTGGTATAGATCATCATTTACTCTCAATAACAAGCCATTTGTAAGATAACTGCTTCCAAATCTTTACAAAAAGAGGGAATGACCAACGCACAGCATATGAAGAACTTCTTATCCCATTAACAAAGTTACATTGTATACAAAATGATTGTGTGCTGACATGAAAAACTAAAAAAGAAAACATGCATACACCCCAGAAAACTGCAGCCTTAACCCAGTTGAAATACTTGACATAACGCGAGCCTGCATCCTAAAGCAGGAGTAGGTTAACTGAGGAAGGTTTGCTATTAAAGAGGAACTCAGTTCAGATAAACATAAAGGGTAATCCTTATCCTCTGGGGGGTGGGCAGGAGGCGGCTGGAGATCTTCCACGGGGGGATTTTGAGTCAAGTTACTGTGCAGACAACGATGATAAACTGAGGCCCAAAGAAGATGCTGTCTGTGGGACTTTGGCTTTGAGAAGCTAAGTTTAGAAGTTCTAAGATAGATATAAAGAGAAATGAATCACCCAGGGACTCATCCTACCATTTGCAAGGGAAGTCAAGGAGTGCTTGGTTATTTACTATTTGCTTATATCCAGGTCAAATTATGTTAAAAAATATATTGGGTTGTCGGAAAAGTCATGACCCATTTTTGCAACGAAAAACATAGAAAAATACGTCATGACTTTTCCAACAACCCAATATGTACATAAGACATTGTGTTATCTTAAATACATAATTTATGTCCTGATATAGATTAATTTTTCTAAAAAAAAATAGCCATTAGATGAGGAAATTACTTTATACTTGAAGAAGGGCTACACCTGTATGATCATGCTGTCTAAAGAAAATATTTCTAAGCAGGGTTAGAGTGACGCTAATTAAGTGAAGCAGCTGCTGAAACTCAGCTGGGAGGGCGGTTTGTGTGGGGAACACTCTGGGGCATTGCTGGTTGCGCCACACTCACAGAGAAGCCAGCAAACACGCTGCTGGAGGCAAACATTCCCAGGTAGGCAGTTGCATTATATCCTCCTGCTGCTTATGCAGGTACTGAAGTTAGTTTCGTGTGGTGGTAAATGTTTAAAATTTAGAATTCTGCCACACAATGAATTGTAGAAACAATCTTTAAGTTCTCAATATATGGCAGTGGTTTTGAAAACATTTTTCTTAATCAGTAGGAAACTTTATTCAAGTAAAATTACTGATGAAACAGGACGAAGCCCACTGGGTCTTCCCTCCTCAGGGGCCCTTGGAAACAATCTAAAAATTAGGAGACAAGTAGTTGGGTATAAATCATTTTTCAAGGACAAGTTGGATTTTTATCACACTCCCAATTTTTAAAATAAAATATTTAACAAGTAATTGTAATCATTTATTTTCCTCCTCTACTCCAGAATGGTTAAATAATAATATGAATAGAAAATATGTAAAAAAAAAGAAAATATGGATATTTAGAGCTTGATTACTTAGGGGTTAAATCATAAAAACATAAATGTAGGAACGAGATTCTTCTTCCCTTTGAGGTTAATGGTCTCCTAAAAAATGTACATTTATTTACTTGGGCACATGTATCTTGCCATATAATTTCATAGTAGGCTGAGCAAACAAACGAATGAGGGCACCAAATCTAACTACTAATTTATAGAAAATATAAGGGTCAGAAGTATATATTAAATGATATTACAAAGACTGAATCAGCAAAACCAGGCTCCACAGGATAACAAGTAAGTTCTACCAGATAAGCACCAGAGAAAATAAGAGATGGAGAAAAAGAGGCGCCCACAGGTAACAAGGCTCCTGAGAGAAAAGTGAATCAATATCAAGGAATAGACATTATCTGGGTCCTAATATGAGACAGTTAGGGAAGCTGGAATACTGACTTGATATTTTTAAAAGAATTTTCTTGTCAGGTGTGATAATGACATTGTGGACTTGCCCCCTTGTCTTTATCTTTAAAAGATAGCAACCTAAATTATATATGGATGAAATGATGTATCTAGGATTGGCTTTAGTAATCCAAGATGGTGGGAAACAGGAGACAAGACTGACCACAAACTGGTAACTGTGGAAGATGGATAGCAGACAGGGGAGGAGAGAGGTTCACTGTACTATTATTTCTACTTTTGCACATGTTTAAAATACTCCATAGTGAAAAGCTAAAAAGTTAAAGGTATACTAATGAAAAGTTGGAACGAAAGCAGGTATTAACCCTTTCTGTGCCATAAATAACCCATTTGGTGGTCTGATAAATTCTGTGGACCTTTTCTTATAGAAATGCTTTAAAATGAATAATCTAAAATGCAGAGTATAACAAAGGAAAATGATTTTACTAAAATTCTGTTACCACAATATTGGAAAAACAAATTTGTGACATAGTAACTAACGTATGCGCTTCTTTATTGGGTCCCTAAATAGCAAGTGGGTCTAACCATGGGTCTAATAGCTATTCTGAAGTAATGTCGTGTACAAACAATACTTTGTAATATCTAAAACAATGTAATGTGAGACGAAAACACCCATGGTCTCTATTCACGATAAAAACACAGGCACTGCTGATACTTCCGTGATCTATTTCCTACATGCATAATTGAAGAAAATGCTAATTTTTAGTGAGGTGTTAATGAAAATGACTAAACTTCTCCCTGTTCTAATTGTCTCCTTGGAGCCCAGATGGAAACCTCCCCCTAACCACCTGCTGCTTAGTTGCCAATACTCACGTAAGGGGGCATCATAGCTCTGTACTGGGCAGTGAGGGCAGGCTGCTGGCCGTTCAGCTTCGCCTGAGGAGGGCCACAGGCTATTCTCTTCTCCACCACTTTGAGGATGTCATTTTGCTCTGACGACCCAGCTGTGCTTTCCTCCTGGGCAGGAAGCTTTTCATCTTGGTCAGATGTTAAGGGTGAGCCAGCAGACTTACCGCCATCTCTCCAACAAGCAACATCTGGCACGAAGAGAGATAAGAAAGGAATAAGGAAAAAATCTGAGAGCAGAACAGAGTGAAAGCAAACCAGGCACATTTCAAGAAAACTGAAGCAGTACCAAGTCTGCACCGGGAAGGACAGGTGCCAGTCCCATCTAGGCGCTGCTAGCGCTTTCACAGTCAGTCAGGAGAGTGGCTTCCAAAGCAGGGAGGATGTACCCCCGGAGGGAGCCACCAAAGCTATGTACTGGGGCTGGGGAAGGAACACTAGCGCTTCTCTACAACGCTTCACCAATATTTGATGTGGAGCTGAACGTCACTGTCATACCTGAGGTGGACCTGGGGGGTGGGATGGGGGGGGAATTCTACAACCCAGAAGGGTTGGCAGGAACACTCTCGTTCAGTGCTTTCAGTCTGCTATTGCGAGTTGTTACATGTGCCCCAGTGAGCAGATTCAGTGACTATGTTATCTGGTTCAGCCACACTTAACCAAATAAGACAGGTAAGTGGTTTTACAAGGAAACCCGGTTTGGTAGACCGCCTCCAGGGTGGCTCAAATGGTCTGTCTCCTGGCACTCACACCTTGTGTGCCACCCTCTCACAATGTACCAGGGCAGGTCTGTGTGACCTGGAGAATGAAACAGAAGCGATGGCATGCCTCTTTTAAGATTAGGTTCTAAAAGGCTGTGAGCTTCCATCTGTCTGTCTGTCCTTACTTGTGGTGAGGAGGCCATGTTGTGAGTAGCCACTACGAGTCAGTCAAGTCAGCCGCAGATGGCAGTTTCACTGCAACTTTGTGGAGAGTTCAGAGCTCCAAGTTAGAATGCCCAGCTAAGCAGCTCCCATATTCCCGATCCCAGATACTGTGTGACACCATAAGGCCACTTCCGCTTGTTGTTTTTTGTTTTTGTTTTTAAGATTTTTATTGGGGAATTGGGGAAGGGAAACAGACAAGTTGCTGTCCTTTTGTTCTTCAGTCTAGTTGTGGAGGACGTTGCGTCACTGGCCCAAGTTGGCACCAACACTGCGCTCTTCCCGAGCGAGACAGATCAGTCGCCGGCTTCTGGACGGCCACGCACGGCGGCTGCTGGCCGCTCATGCTAGCTGCTGGCTACACACGGTAGCCCATGGCAACCCACTGCCACAGGGGCTGCAGCCTAAGCTGTTGTTCAGCATCTTAGCTGTGGAGGGCAGTGTCACTGGCCCTCATATGTGGGATCCAAACTGGGGTCCTCTGGCATCCCAAGCCAGTTCTTAACCATCGCGCCACTCGGCCGGCCCCGGCTTGTTGTTTTAAGCTACCAAATTTATTAAGCAGCAATAGTTCACTGATGAAAATCAAGTGAACAAGAAAACAGTACAGGGTCGGCCGAGTGGTGTGCTGGTTAAGAGCTGGCTTGGGACACCAGAGGGCCCCAGTTCGGATCCCACATATGAGGGCCAGTGACACTGCCCTCCACAGCTAAGATGCTGAACAACAGCTCAACCTGGAGCTGG